ACTTCAAAGATAAAAATAGTTATTTATAAAAAACAAAAATGGCGGATATCTATGTAAATATGCATTTTCGGGCATACCTTCACATCAACTTTTTTCTTCCTTTTAGTATAAGGATTCATATTCCAAAGTTCTGAAACGTGTTGTATGTACACCTGTATAATAATTATAATAATTAGTTATAATAATTTCTAAAGTGCTTTTTTGTCAGTACACCATAACTTCCTTAATTCTTCACCAATAATTTTCATAAATGAGGGGTCATTTTAAAGCTGTTTTTACCAACTACGCTAAAAAAGTATACAAGTCACTCATTTTTCAGTAGATTTTCGTAAAAAAAATATCTATTATACAGTATGTTTGAAAATGTCTTTCATAAAAATGTGCATTTGATTTCCACAGCTGTTCACTTTTGTGTTTACAATATCCTCCTTCCATAAGCTTAATATGGGATCCCTAGGGCCTCTGGGGAGGAACCCAGTTGAGCTCGGTTAAAATGGATGTGTTACAAACCTTCTCCATAAACTTTTACACCTATGTACTACGTTTCATGGCAATCGGTCCAACGGTGTCCGAGCTCATAACGTTCAAATATATATATATATATATATATATATATATATATATATATATATATATATATATATGTATATATATACAAACTTCCTCTTAAATAAAATCTCGGTTATTTATCGTAGAAAGCACAGACTAAGTTTGTTGGTCGTCATGGATAAAGTAAAAACAAAACACTCAGATTTGAAAAGTAAATATTCGTTTTTTGATTAATTTAATTCACATGTTTCAGCTGATGGAATAACGTAAATAAACATATCAAGACGCCTTGAGTTTAAATTACTTGCCGAATTAAGCAGCAACAAAAAACTGTGATACACAATGAGAACTAACTAACTGTCAAAGTAGGATTGTTTACAGTTATGTTTATATTTTTAATTTCATGAATAATTTGTGATATTTTGCGAATTTTTAATAATTTATTTTTCTCTATTGTTTAGGTGAAGTGGTAAAACATGATGGCCATGGTAGATGTGTAACTATAGAATACTGTAAATTTAAAGAAGCAAATTTTACCAAACGGTGTACTCCCTCATTGCAATTAAACGCAAAGCTTGAGTATAACTCTGCAATAAGCATTTTTTATACTTATATGCCAACCCCGTACGAAGGATGGGTACTCTCCTATTAAGATCTATTTAATCCTGTAGAGGTAACTTATCGCTTTATGAATGTAACTGTACATAATTAACCTATGGGGAGACAATACGAAAATAATTATTTACCACTTGTGTCCAAACTACACGCTCAACCCTCACGAGCACATTGCCCACATTACAACCAAAGCTAGCTCCCTGCTTGGTTTCATATTCAGATCAACAAGGAATTTCAACTCACCCTTCACCTTGATCACGCTCTACAAGTCCCTGGTACGCCCGCTGCTGGAGTATGGGTCAATCATCTGGTCTCCCTTCCAGAAGAACCACGTCAGCCAACTGGAGAGCATACAAACCCGCTTCATACGGATGCTTGGACCGAGACTTGGTTTTACCTACCGCACTACCCCGGTTGACGATGTGGAGAAGTCCTTCGATCTTCTGCCTTTGTCACTCCGACGTCATCATGCCGACATATTCATGCTCTACAAGCTGGTTAACGGGTTTGTCGATTGCCCCAACATCCTGAGTGGTATCGACATTACCACGCCCAGAGGCACCCGCTCCAGGACTATATTCAGCAGACGCTTTCTCCCAGCCTACTACTCTTACAACAGCGGAATTAGCCGTCTACTCAAGGCTGGTAGCACGGCGGCTGCTCAACTGGATTTCTTCGGTGAGAAGCCCCTCCGGTTCAAAAAGAAGGTCTCCCTGATCACTTGAGCAACCACACTCCAGCACATCTGCACATTTGTCTTCTCATCGTTAAAGCTTGCTGTTCATATTCTTTGTTGATACTCTTTTTAGTTTATTCTTCTGTTATTAATATTTGTTATTACTTTGTTATTACTATTGTTATCACTATTTGTTATTACTATTGTTATCACTATTTGTTATTACTTGCTATTACTATTTATTATCACTTTGTTATTACCATTGTTATTACTTTTCTAGTCAGTAATATATTGCAAATGCCATCTAAATTGTATACACATATTTTGTAAAAAGGTGCAATCCGTTGGGAAATAAATAAATAAATAAATAAATAAATAAATAAACGTGTTACAAGCCAATGCATATTTATGAACCTGACGCCCACACGTATTTTCACGAATTACGACCGCTTTGATTAAAATTTGTGAGACGTATTTAAGCCTTTTGTAGCCTGTTAATTTATTGTTCAGCCCTTCCAGCTTTAAGTGGATTTGAAACGCTTACAGTTAATTTCGGTTTTGCATGTTTATTGAGAGTGTTTGGTTGGTTACTAATGTAATGCACCGCATTAAACAGTCTAACCTTATTTTTCATTATCAATGATAATATTTTGAAAAACAGCTGATAGTAATTGATTGTTGAATAAACATTATTATAAGGAGTATGACATTTCCCCTAGGAACTGCTGTATATGCTACAACACAACCCGTTCAAGCTAATCACTTCTAGACGTGTGTATCTTTCCTCTTGAGATCTTGTATTAGATTATGCGTTGGTCTACTTGACCTAATTGCAGTCTTATCTTGGTTGGCTCTGGTGGAAATGAGACTTAAACGTGTTTGTTGATTACGGTACTTTTAACATTAAAGCATACTTACGATTGTAGTCCTGGAGAAAACTCTCTTTCTGTAAGTTTAGAAATTAAAAAGAAAACTGCATCTCATTTTAAAGACACAAGGTCACACTTCAAATAATCAAAAGAGTAAAAAGTAGGCATAATAAAATTATCAATGTCTAAAAAATAGGCTACTTATTATTGTGAGTGTGGGCAGTGAGTTTTATACAGTACTAGCTGACCCGACAGACGTCATCCTGTCCTAATGTGGTTTTATGTCAAATGCTCGTTCATTTTCAAGATGAGCTCGTTCGCATGGCTCAATCACGTTCTGGTTGAAGTTCGTTCGCTACGCTCACTCATCTTTAGGTTGGACCTCGTTCGCTGCGCTCACTTGCCTTCAGGTTAGCTTGTTCGCTACGCTAACTCGCCTCCAGGTTGAAGTTCGTTCGCTACGATCACTCACCTTTCGGTTGCAAATTAGCTGTTGTCATAAATAAAAAAAAATAATAATAGTGCTGCACCCTGTTTGTAAAACTATTTAATACATACTTTTTAATGCTATTTAACATCACAGAATCAAATTGTTTAGTTGAACCAGCTGTTAAGATTCTTTCATTCCATTTAAATATGAGTACTCATAAGGTTAACATGGGAAACTCCAGAGCCACTGGGCGGAGCCCTTTTGACGGATCTGCACCAAACTTTACACAAACCATCCTTAAATGATGCTTAATAATGCCTGAAAGTTTCATTACAATCTGTCCAGTGGTTTCGGAGTCCATAAAGGACAAACAGACAAACATACATTGGATTGTATAAAGTTAACCAACATCTTTGACATAACACAGTAAGATATTTTAATTTCAGTACTGCATCAGTAATCATTTTAATAAACAGCTGATCCTATGTTTGCAAGTAAAAATTGAGACTTTGAACAATGTGGGTGCAGTAGTTTAGTTGGAGCAAATCATCTAGCTATAGTTCGGCCGCTTAGATAGTGACCTGCGCGCTAATGCTAACCAATGCTAGAGGAGGTCGCTATCTAAGCGGCCGAACTATAACACAATTCTGACAGAAATGTTTTGGGCAGCTCATTGTCAGTTGATGAGTTAGCTTTTGTCCTGAGTCCCTTTGACCTACCTGTTATAAGCTATTACATTTAATTAATATTCATGTTAACGATCATGTGATAAATCACAAAGACAAAATATATTTTTTTAAAGGATGAAGATTCAGGTGTAGTTTGCCATCTCATAAACCATCTCATATGCAGCCAGATATGTAGCCTGTCCATCTGTCTTACATTCCCTTGTTAATTGTTTTTTAATTCATTAATTTAGTTTGAAAAAATAATACTACCCATATAAATTACACTATTTTTTCAGGTTTGACTATTTTTATATTTTCATAATTGATTCAACACAAATTAAGATATGTCACTTATGTACTAAATAAGCCTGTAAAGTGTTTCAGATCTTTGGTTATTTCCAAAAAGCTATTTGTACAACTTAACCTTCTGTGAAATCTATAACTCAATAGAGGCAATTAAACTGTCACAAACATGTTCCTAATGATACATTTTCATTTTGAACATTTATTAAGGTTACACTGTTTTGTTTAACTTGTATGTTTAGGCATATTTTTGCTATCTTTCTTAGTACTTTAAAAATTAAACCATATTTAAAATTTTCACAGTTTTGAAGCTTTAAAAAGCTTTGTTCCGATGTATGTCTGTTTCATTAGCCAGGGCCATTTTATTAAAAGCCAAATAAGCATGAACATCTGGGACCATGGTTCAAACTATCAAACAAAAATTGACTTCACAGGATTGAACTAACAACCTTCTGATAAGTAGATGTATACCACCCACCAAGACACTCAGCTAACAATAAACTTGTGCAAATCCAAAATAATTTCAAGGAAAAGTGTATTCCCTGGAATAATAAACCAAAACTGTTCTTATGATCATTATGGGCTTATTGGTCAAAGAAACAGCTGATCAATTCTACACGCATCTCACGTTCATATTTGGGTTAAAATACACCTATTGGCAAATTTGGCACCATGTTAAGGGTGGGCTACCAGAGAGGGTTTGAGACGTGTGGAACACCCCAAAGAAAAACCTTTGTTATGTGTTTAGGACAAAATGTATGATTAAATGTAATTGTCCAAGGTCTAATTGGAAGGATAGCCCCCCCCCCCTCTTGTCATCACCATTTAATATACCCAGTTGTATTTACCATCACAATTTGTAATGTGAATCAAAAACCTTTGTTCTTAAGATTTCAGAAGATGGACAAGCCTAGATTGTGGGCAGTGACATTGGCAGCTATCTGTCTGGGACATTGTCTTGGTGATGACAGTCTTCGAGGCGCGTTAGAAGCCATCAACAGACGACAGCGTGATCTGTCGGACTCAACTCTTTACTATCTGGAACATTTCAGACCCCAGCAGGAGCGTACCATGTACCCTCGCCACGGGGAAGGTATAGAGTTCATAAATACCAACAAATCCTAGTCTGTATGATGGAACCCGTCTCTTGACCCTCGGTCTATCTTAAGGCTTTCCCGGGACCTAAACTGTTGGCCATTCCCCCATATAGGTAGACAGAGGGTCAGGAGGCAGGTTCCTTTATACAGACTATGGTATTATAATTTAACCTAAAGTAGCATCAGAGTTAAGAAGGTATCCTGATGGTTGGTACAGAAAACAATTAACCAATTAAACCAATTATATGACTGAAAATCACTTCATATGGCTATTAAAAGACATTATTGATTGTGTACGAGCTCGAGCTGTAACCATAATATAACTAATCAAAAATACATATTTTTAAACCATTAAGTATAAATAATTACCTACAACAGGAACTGCACCAAACCACATTATCTTTGTATCCCTTTTGTTGATGTTATTTTCAATAAATAATTTAAATCACTCCATGGGTTTAACTCTGCTATAGGCAGCAAACATATCATCTTTTGTGAATAAATACTGGGTTATTAAGGTAGCTTTGTTTTTGTAATTAATGGTGATAAAAAGGGCTTCCCTGATTAGAATTTTGGAAATTGTCTTCGCAATCTGCAGTAAATGGATTCTAATGCTATTCTCATGGAGAACATTTTACGTTAGACCTATATCTCGTTTTCTGGTATTTTTATGGGAATTATGCTATTTTTCCCGAGTCCCTGGGGGTCAAGATCTTTAATTTAAGACCTCTCCCACTTTTCTGCGCTTACCAGACGTCCACAATTTTCTGGTAAAAGTTTTTTCTTTCAGAATCCTTATATATAATACGTGAAGGCGATTTCTACGAAACACTACTCCTCCGTTAATAATGGACGGATTTTTACAAACGTCAAAATTAAGTATTTTTTGTATATACGCCCCCTTTCACCAATTCATGTAATAAAAGTCCTCAGGATTTGCCCACAGGCCATCAAAATCCTAATGTATTTCTTTTGAAGAAAAGATTTTGTTTACTTAAACAGGCGAATAATTTTTATCATAGTACACATTTCATAGTTTGTTCATAGTAAACACATGATACACACAAGAGTGTTCGTTTTCAGAGTGAGTTCGTTTTCAGTTTCGATAACTGTAGAGGAGTGATTGATTACACATTATCTTTGAGTTGACTCTTTTAAGTCATTGGAAATTATGATTTTTATTCGTTTTAAAATAACGCCTGTAATACTTTGCAATTGCTCGTATTCGAGCAACAGGTGCACTAGTTATATATAAGGGTTGAGTAGTTTTTTTTTCTGTAGAAAGATTATGTTTAATCTTGTCTAATTATGAATGCAAATAACTGTAAAATTTAATTTCATAAGGACCCAATTATTTTTTTAAATTTCATTCATCATGCTGATGTCATATCTGTTAAATCCAAGCATAGCTAAAATTTTACACATCTTAAGAAAATGAGTATCACAACAAAACAGAATATGAAAATATTTAATATTTTACATATTAAAGTTTCATTCGGTGAAACCTTTGACTGTGAAACTTTATACATACAATTCAGTTCATAGGGTTTCAGTAAATTATCAATTATAAACCAAACTGATTCTCTCTAATTTTTATGTTGTATTTCAGGTAATGGGCAGTTGGAAGACATTGGATATGGATACCAGAAGTCGCTAGCACCCAAGACCTCTGGAGTTTTTGAAGCTGTGCCACTTCCTGAGACTGAATTAGGGAGTCACTCTCCCGGAGTTGAATCTCATAACAACTTTGAAGCTATGGATGATAAAACTTTAGAGGACATTGCCGAGAACATCATCCAACACTACAAGTCAGGCGAATTTGAGGCTGTAGATCCTCAGGTCTACCTCAATCACCACAATCCAGACACGAAAAGATCTGTGTTCCGAGAACGAGACATAAATGAGCCACCCAATTCTCTCCAAAATCTATCTCCAGAAGATGAAAATTCTCGTCAGTTTTATGAAAACGGAGAGCGTCATCAACACGGTGGACCATCGTTGTTCCGAGAAAGATACACTCCTAAACCGTTTAGGAAACATTCATCTCACAAGGCTCAAGCTCTTGTTCGGAACTTTGGGGGGTTAAACAGAGATGAAGATAATTTCCCTAACGATGATGACTCAGATGAATATTTATCGATGCTGAATTCAGTCTGGGAAAAGTATCAAGACGGTAATCCCGAGGCTGTAGACCCTGAAGATCTATCTGAGAGTGACGTTGAAGAAATTATGGATTACCTGAATCATAAAAATGAAAGGAAAAGACAGCCTGAAAACAGTTATCAAACAGGGTACGATTTTTTTAGTTCACCCCTGACTTGGGTCAAACGAGATCATCAAAGACTGACTGACAATTCTAAACCATCTAGTGATCAGTTCTTACACGCCTTAAAGTTCCTGAATAGTCACACTGACACATTAGAATCGATGCGTGAAGAGGATTTGCCAGACGATGACAGGGATGAAGACGTGGCAAGATTGCTTCTAGAGGAACAAGCACAAAACAACAGGAGGTACAAAAAACGTTTTTGGAGAGGAAACACATACGAAGAGCACAACAGAGTCGCTAAAAGGTACCCTATCACAAAACGATCCTCTTCGTTCTACACAAGCCCAGCAGTTTTGTACCATAAAGCTTCAAATGAAAAATTCAACCAACGCAGAAAGAAGAGCCACTCTGAGGAATCAACTGATCCAAAAGTCGCAGAGGAAATAAACGACATTTTTTCCCACTCCGAGAACCTAACCAAAGGAAAAAGCTCTGATACAGACAAAACCAAAGTTCCCAAAAATTCGTCAAACACTACTTCCAACAATACAAAATCATCTGAAGAACTCATCCCTGATCACTCTAACGCATCCCATATCAAGAGGAAACGCTCGGGCCAAAAGGAAGAAACAAGTTTCGAATCTCAACACAAACCTATGGAGTCTAAGAAAGCAGTTAATTGGAACGAATACTTTGGAATCGACCGAAGGCGTAAGAAGTCCCTGAGCAAACCATCTAATGACGAGTGGCTACTTGACCAGTACTTAAAAGCTTATTCAATTTCAGCACGAGCCATTCAAAATGGCAATGACCAAAGTGTAGAGAACAATATGGAGAATGACAAGAAAGGCGTGGACGACATGGATGCAAAGTTGAGAGCTATGGAGGATATTATTGTAGATCAGGCTCTGAAGTACACCGGAGCTCACGAAGGAACTACGGATACCGAGGAGGTACAAGCGGTTAAGGATCGAGTGATTGCTCAACTTGCAGCCGCCTACAGTCTGGAGAAGATGCGGAAAGCTCTGAGTGAGTTCAAGTCCAGCATGGCAGCACAGAAAGTGTCTCCACAAACTACGGCCAATGCACCCACTGGTAAGGGGGTTCTAGCTTCTTATTTGTCTGGTACAATTTAGTACCTATACATTTATAGGAAAAAATGAGTTTTTTTATGAAGGAATGATTACCGGATTGATTATGGGCATTGAGTATACACTTAGGATACACTACTAGCTGAACCGGCAGACGTTGATTTGCCTTATCATTCTTAATGCTTTTGGTATAGGCTCTACCTCTTATGCTGTATCACCAAGAAAGATTTTCACATAGAAATAAATAAATAAAAAAAACATTTCCTAAATGGATAACGATTATTATTTTTAGTTCGGCACATAAGAACAAATTTGAATTTAAAAGAAGCTAATCTGCATGCAAAACATTGTACATTGTTAAATTGAAATATTGTATGCATTTACACAAAAAATGAGTTTTATATGTTTTGTTTTAGTAAAATGTTTAAAAAACTTCTAATGTATTGTTATATGGTCAAAAATACAGAAGTTAAATTGTATATTTTTTAATATTTAGCATAAAACTGCACATTTTTTATTTACCACTATATTAAGATTCAGACACTCCTGAGGTGAGTTAATTTTATGATGAAGGAAACTAAATTTTAAATCTACAGTGTATAAAATTTTAATTTTTCACCACTAAACAATATCACCAGGTATTCAAATTCTTTTCTTTAGAATTTGATAAATAAGAGAAATATTTCATCAAAATCATTTATTTTTAGAATCTCCCGAACAAAAGGATAAACGAGTTGCTGTGAAAAAAGAGAAAGCGGGAGTTGAGAAGAAGGATTCTGACAATGAGATTGGTGTTCTACAATCACCGGAGCATCATCAGCAATCTTTCGCACCAGGTAGGAATATCTAAGATACTTACAATAATTAGAGATACTTACATTAAAAATTATTATTTCTTTATACTAACAAAGAAAACATAAATGGTAGAATAGAATAGAAATGGATCAAAATCTTTATTACAGTGTCTTTTTACCATAGATTGAAATAGACGTTGCATCCCATGTTAATGCTGTAGCCTGTTTGGAATAAAAGAGACTTTAAAAATAGAATTGGGTGGTGTACACTTACTGATTTCTGTAGAGTACACTTTTGTTGTGAACTGAACTGGACATTGTATAAAATAAGTTAATAGTTGTTAAAAATAATGTACCGTACTGACTTTCTGGCAACATGAACATGTGAAGCTGGAAATTAATTAATTAAAATAGATATAATTAAGTTTAGATGTGACAAGAACATATTTTAGAATCATCAAACCGCTTGGGGGAAATGATAACTTATATTTCAAACAATAAACTTCTGACTTGAGTACAGTAATGTTAGTTTCCCAAGACAGATATAGTGCTGGGTGCAGCAGGTTTCAGTAGACCAGTGGGCTTGACTCCTGCCACCTCTTTAAGCCTGTAAATCTACTCTTCATCTAGGATACACCTGTGGTACGACCATATATAATAACTTTACACAGCAAGAACTCATTAAACATATGAAAAACAAAGATAGATCTTGAAAGTGTAAAATTATTTGGTTAAAGATACACACAATAACTTTTTCACCACAATATGATATTTTTAGCTGTTTTACATACGTTAATTGGTGGCTGAAAGTTACGTTTTGCTGGCCATGCCAGCTGTCATCGTCATTTGGGGACTGAGCAGGTTTTTACATCCCTTGGTCGACATAATCAGCTGCCCGCTTACTTTCTTAAAACATAATTACATACTAAATACACAATCAGTATCCATAGCATTGCAATAGAATTGTTTTATTGTCACCGCTGCCTAGCAACTATTTATTTTTATTTTTGCTGATTCCTCAAATTATTTCTTCATATAACCTTAAAGTTGTAGTTTTGTTGACTATCAGTGTGCATTTTTATTGTGTGAATAGTGTGGTGAAAAATAGCGTTCGTACCACGGACCGAAATGGTTTTGCAGCTCTCAATCATTTTAGGTTCTCCACTTTGTCTCGAACTTAAAAACTATCTCGAGCCGGGAAAACATAATTTTCGGCCCTAGGTACGAAATATTCTATTTTGTGGTCTGTAAGTATGAAGCATCTGTAAAGTTTATGTTTGATTACAGAAGAGTCGTGTCCGATCATGGATGATATCTCGGTGAGATGTCAAGAGATTGCCAACATGGCTGGTGATGTTGGACAGACTCTTGCACCTCTCTGCACTCTACATCAAGTCTGCTACTTGTGTGTGAGTAAAGTCTTTAATTTTATTATAAAGTGGACATGCTAAATTTGTAACAAGTTTTAGATACAGAAAGGTTATACCATAATTAGCTTAGGAACAGTTGTTATAACTAGACATTGCCTCTCCATTTTAAAGTTGTCGCCAGTTTTTTAATTCAAACGGGACGTACTACAGTTGAAGTGAGACACCGACAGATTGCGCTGATGTCAATTACTGATATCTGTCATTCATGTTATTGGTTACAGGGTTCTGAGATGGGCACTGCGGCTGGAGCTTGTGACTTGACGTTCCTGTCAGAGGCCAACAGTCTGTGCGGAGACAGTCCACGCTGCCGCTACACAGTCCGTCGCACTATGGCCGCCATGCGCATGCTTCGTGGAGATCCCTCCCCCCTCGGCTGCGACTGGCAGCACCATCCTTGTCTGGCACGCTACCTTGCCATCACCGTGCGATAGATACCTACTCCCTCCATGTTAAATGTTCTATGTTATATTTTTGTTAGTCTATGTAAGATAAATTGGTGCTAGGTATTATTTAGAAAAACCCTACAGCGTTATTAAGGTCAAGTACCAATGTATTAGCCATTGAGGGTGTATCTGAGTAAAACATATTTATATTTGAATTTAAAATATAATGTTTATTTGTCCAACCGTTAACTATTTGAGGTGTGTTGCAATGCTGCTTTAGAATTCTTTGGAAAACAAAACTTTAAATTTGCCTTACTATTTCTGATGACAATAATATGTATAAATAAAAGATACTCTAACTCAGAACCATTATTTATATTATTCTGAGCTCATTGAAACATGATCGATATTATGATATAAATTATTTTATTCTGATAAAGAACTTCTGTCTATGAATTTGTATTGTTACAAAATAAAATTATCAATCTTTTTTTATTATTAACTTTGGATTGGAAGTATAAACAATTTTGAGGGTGGACCGATGCTTCTAGGTGTCGAATGAGGCAACTCAAACCGTGAATTACATTAATGTACTCACCCCAAACTGTTGTTAATTAATTGATTATGATTCAAGTAACGATATAAACAATTTTGAGTCTAAAATGTATTGTTAGGTACCTTCCAGTTTGATAACTGAGTAAATGTAAAACATTATTAAATGCAGATAAAAAGATAAAAAGTGTATTATGTCTGTTCTAAGATTGTATATTTTGTTATTGGATCCACTAAGCCTGCTATTGTGTAAATGGTTGATAGCACATGGAAACATGCTGTCCCTTCAATAAACATTGATGTTTAGTTGTTAAATTTGTTTTATTCTTACCATCTCAATATCCACACATAGTGTTACTAAAATGGTCAATTTTCACTATTTGTTTTACTTAAAGTTTTTAAGATATGTGCTGTTTCATGTAGTTTACAATGAATTTAATAGTTACTATCAAAATTTAAGAAAAGTAGGTCCTCACAGCAGGATGGTTTATCAAAATACGTTCCTCCATATAGCAACATTCCTTTTGGAGGCAAAATAAAATTATAGTCTTTAGAGGCGATTTCAGACAAGTTTGACCAGTTCCTATAGACATGGAGCTAGAACAGCATTGCTGCAAACTTTCAGTTAAACACATTTCACTGTGGGCTGATATAAACTAACTCATAAAATAAAACATAAATCAACTTTATTTTCATAGTACATTTTGCAACGCCTTTGTTTACGAGTCAAATACTGCTTCCATACAGATTAAATTGAAACTTTGAGACCCCTTGGGGTGGATTCCTGAGAGTTTTTTTAACGCCATATAGATATTTAGTACTCACCGATATGGTCTTTTTCACCACACAAAATTTGAAAACGATTGCTTCAGCCTTCTAGGAGGAGTTTGCGTACTACGAAATGCAAAAGAGTCAACGTATATAAGAGCTTCGCTCGCTCCACTCAATTGACTGAATAAATAAACCCGTTAATTAACAAATAAAACATTAAAGCTAAATGATGACCCATTTTTCACAGAATGGTCGCTTGAATTAGGTAGTATGATGATTTTGATACTTTATCAGAACACCCCTACCAAGCCATCGCACTCCCAAAACATTGCCACTGAATTTTCAAGAGCCTTAATTACAATAAAGATGTCAAAGTAAAAAGATCAATGAATTTACAACAAATTTCATTCAACAGCCATTATAACTGAAAATTGGCAAATGCACCACAGTAATTTAATTATTTTATTTTGAACTTGATTTGATAGGCCTACTTAGGAAGGGAACGGACATCACCATTGCCATTCATGATTGCAGCAATATCTTGACATTCATTATGCAGTCACGAAGACATCATTGTCGGCTCTCATGATTGCGGCAGTACCTTGACATTACTCACGTTCGCGAGGACACCATCATCGCCTCTCCCATGACCCCCGCAGGTGCGAAGAGACCAGCATTGCCAAATTTGTGACTGCAGCAATACGCCGTAGGCACCTTGACATTCCCCCGCGTTCGCAAAGTCATCATCATCGCCTCTATGACCCCCGCGGTCGCAAAAGATCATCAACGCCCCGTGTTTGGTAGTGCTCTTTTTTGTCAGAGATACAGCTATTTTACTCTGTTTACTAATTTACTCTAACAATCATTAAATTGTAAGAAAAAATCCGTTGGTCATGGTCAATGAGCTAGAAATACGACTGGTGGTAGCACCGATACAGTAACCCTGCTAGAAAATCGAGACAGTGTAAAATGTTGTGCTTTGTGCTCGCGCCAACTAGGGAAAGCAAACTTATGGACTCGTGGCTTTATGAATGTACAATCACCTAGTTCAAAATGTATTAAGTACTTTATACCGTCCTTACAAATGGCGACCAACGTCTCGCAGTCACGGCCACTCCAGGCCGCGGCCTGGCAGAATTGGCAACATAAAATGGCAGACAGGTGACATCAGCTCATTAATTCGCACTTAATTGATTTAAATTTACGAGCATAAATTTATGAACATAAATTTATTAAAACATTGAAAATAAAAAACATGAAAACCAAAACAATATGAATTGAAAATCTATATCTGTACATTTAAAGCGGATTCAATATTTTCACAGTCCAGTAACCAAGCTTTCGTAGATACACAAATACCATTAGCTGCTTCCAAAAAACAGCTGTTACAGCCCTACTTGCGACGTTGCCTTGCCACTTCGAAGGCCGCGGCCTGGAGTTAAAGGCGGCCGTGCTCACAGTTCCCTCAAATTAGTGCTTCCTCTAGATGTTTCTCTAGCTTAGTGGTCATGGCAACTGCCTGCCGCTCGCTGAACTGCTGTTGCCGTTGCTTGCCTGTAGCTTTGGTCTATAACAGCTGATTTGATTTACAAGCAGAGAGCAACAAGAAACAAAATTTTAACCTTTACCTACCTTTAGGTTAGAGAATGTCATGTCATGTCATTTTTATTTGAAAGTTAAGGCAATTCATTCATGGTCACTTGCTCACATTGAAATTGATTGTTTGTTTAACACAGCATAAAATATTCTGTTTCCAAAAGATTTTTAAATAACTAGTTCCTAATCCTAACAGTAACATAATGGCTGCAATTGCTAAGAAACTAGGGGGCCAACTAAAGAGTAAAGAATTTAGGGAATATCTTACGAGGTATGTGGTTTCCTTGTCTTAAATCAATGAATTGACCATAAATTTGGTATAAATACATTTGTTCTAACTTAATTTTTTGTTCTTCCAATTTTGTAGGAGGAACATTAGCGTAGCCCAGTTAAGAAACTGTACCTACCCAGTTTGGGTGGGTTAGGTTATGTTTGATTATATTAGGCCTATGATTAGTTTTTTTTCCACCTACCTATATCACTTTTCTCCCAGTTATTACCATTCTAAACTTCATTAGCCTTTCCACACTTTTTATAAAATTTCAATTTTTAGTAAAAAAATTTAGGCTAGCCCACTTACTGTAACTTACATAAATCTTTTTAACTCACCCTTTGTTAACTTAAATGTTATAACTTATTGATTTGCTACTAAACCGATAAATTATTTTTTTATTACCGGTGTAGGGTTGCCATATCCCCGGAAGTTACCGGATTTTGACGTTCAAAATTTAGCTCCGGGGGATTTCTGCAAAAAGTGGGATAGGCCTATCTCTTTTTTTACTGTCAATCAAAATACATTGTATAACGGCACTTTTGGAATCAAATAAAATGTTTGTGTTCACAAATATTGTTAGTCTATGCAATGACTGAAAAATGCAACTCTTGTACTCTCTATTAACATATTTTTAGTCCTTTAATTTGCATCTGCCGGCCAGTTTGAACTCCGAAGTGCGAACGTATCCGTGTTCACTACCAGAGTCAAACCGAGTCTAGCAGACAGAGAGCGTTTTGCTAACGTTATTCTTTATTTTTAGTGAGATGTGACAAACAAGATGCAAATTTTATGCTTTAGCGTACCATATTTGAATAATGACATTGTAGCACGAATATTGAACAGAAACGGTATGGATTAATTAACATAAATAAAGGACGTCACTGGCCCGAATGTCAATAGACGTAGCCTAATATTAGTAACTTTTTTATATAAATGTTTTGTGACCAATTGCCGTAACAACTGGTTTGGACGTTTGACAGTTCCATTTAAGTATTAATAAAAACGTGTTTACTTACAGGCCAGTGACATAATTTTTTTTTTATGTGTATGACCCATACCGTTTCTGTTATAATATTTATTTGTGCTATTTAGGTATACAATTTTGCTAGCCCGTACATTTTTAGGCCTATTTACTGTAGTGGGGGCCGCCAGCTAAAATCTCCTCTTTTTTTCAAATTACCATATGGCAACCCTATACCGGTGGTATTATTAACTGATCAAGATTACCGTACTTACAGTAGCCCTACCTCAGGTAAATGGAACTTTTTAAGATAACAAAGGTCTGTTAACATCCACTGAATGTGATAAATTAAAAAAATGATGTAGCCTAGATGTTGCTTTCCCCAATTTTTAGGCGATCTGGAGGGGGAGAAAGTATTTGTCAGCTGTCTGATACTATTTACTAGGCTATGTACATACTTTATGGGGTTTGCTTGCATACTGGCTCTTTTGACGACTGTTGTTTCCTTAAAATTGACTTTTTATGATACAGGTGTCTTGTAACAGTAGGCCTATTCTCCATAATATATAAAACGTCTTAAACATTTTTTTTTAAATTTGGTTCTTTCACAGCACCCATTTTTGGGGTCCAGTTGCAAACTGGGGAATCCCAATAGCAGCGATTGCCGATATTAGGAAAGATCCTGAATTGATCAGTGGGAAAATGACGCTCGGTAAGTAATATTACTTTTGTGTGTGGTATATAAACACAGGGAATTATTACATTTGAATTTATTTTTGTATATTAAGTAGTGGTGATTGTATTTATTTTTAGCAGGTTCAATCCTTTTTGACTTTATACAACATCTAACCTGATTTTGTAAATGCACAATTGATTTTCTCACATTTAGCCTAGATATAGTATAGTAACTAATTATTAAAACATTCTTTTAATTAAATGTCATTACGTTGCCCTATTTATTCAAATATACATTTAAGTACTTCAAAGGCATTCGAGCGTAATTGTTGGCTTATCATTTTAGTGACTGACTGTAAGTGATAACACAAGATAAACTACAGAAGGCCTTGACCTGTAGTTGTCTAGATTCTAATACATTTAATTGAAAAATTACACTATTTAATAATTAAGTCTAATTATTACAATCTTCACTTAATATGAATGATGAATGCTTAATTTAGGACATTACTTAATAAGCCATAGAATAATTGCAATTTCTGTTTACCACATTGGCTTAACTTATTGACCTTAACTGATCTTATGCTCCTCGGGTTATAAGTCTCATATGAATGTATAACTTTTAGTATTGTAACGAAAATAATAACTTAAGGATCAGATAATATTTCAATTATTTCAGGAAAGTTATACTTCAATGACAAATTTTTATTCTTGTTAGGCTATTAAATACAATACTTGTTGTTAAATACATAACTCTCTTACATTGCATACTGCAATACAATAAACCTCAGTATAAATAAAAACAAGACAACCCACAAAAAATTCTCACCCAACAACAACAACAGACTAGTACTGTAGAGGACTAGACCAACCTGGACATTCCAACTGCCAAGTCCACAAAATTCCTTGGCATAATTGTTGACAAACGCCTCAACTGGGAAGATAACATAAAATACCTATGCAAAAAACTGTCATCTGCAAGGCATGTGAAAAAAAGAATCTGCACACTCACAAATGAAGACGTAGCTGTAATGGCCTATCACTGGCTTTTTCATTCCCACATAAAATATGGTATCACCACCTGGGGATCAGCAAGCACAAGTAACATCGAAAAGATCTTAACGATTAACCCTAGCAATGGCCAACGAGCGTAATACGCTCGTTCGCCGTGACGCCTAGAATGGCCACCAGCGTAATACGCAAGGATGGGCCGACATTAATTTAATGGTTAAAAAACCGCTTATAATCAACTTTGATGTGAACAATATCTACCATTCGAAAGATCATATTGAACTAAACAAACCCTGTAGCAGGTATATAACAATGTCACGACGATTAGAAATCAAATGAATTTTTGGCACGGCACGACTTTTGCAGCTGACACTTGGAAACTGTCAAAACGCGACTTGTTTGGCATTACCCTGCTCGGGTAAATTTTGTCTTGGCATGTTGCGGGTGGTACCACTGGATAGCCATTGATTTGATCTTTATTGTAGTATTGATATTTAGAACGAAATATTGATTGCACAACAGGTACGATTTGATGAAAACAGCTGTTTTTGAAATTTTTAACAAATGGCCATCCAGCGTAATACGCTAGTATGGGAGATACGAATTACATACAGTGTAAGTTATTAATTACTATTAAGTTATTAAGGTATTAATTACATATCATATATGTCATTTTGAAGAGGAAGAAATGTAGCTTGTGATAGTGGCAGCCCTGTGCTCAGGGTTATTTCCGTCTGCTTACATGAAGACGAAAGTGCGTCATTACTGTCAAGGTCTCATATACACATAGTGTCTTGTATTCGCCATTGTGCGTTGTTGCCGGTGAGTTTTCGCTCTCGTTTTATCCACGATTTATTACTAAATTCATTATTATTTTGTATTGTTAGAGAAATGTGTGTGTGTATATAACAGTAATCTTCATGCATCTTATTATGCATGAATATTTACTGAATAGTGTGGAATTGTGTTTATAAAAGGTTGTATTTTTCTTGCGTTTGTATTTTGCGTTTATGCCCCTAACACGTAAAAACTAAAATTGTTACCCAATGTGTTATAGCCTACATTTTATTTAGGTAATTGAATACACTACAAGATGATTATGTTGGTTTGAAGTAAAAACATTTGGTACAAAAGTTTTGTACTAAATACTATGAATTTTGTTTTCACAAAATCGCTAAAATATAAAAACATTATTTTATTTATAAATAAAAAATATTTTTACCATAAACTTTATGACTTTTTTAGATGCTTTACTTCATTAGCTTTACAAATATTATATAACTTTTTACAACACAAACTAACACTGTACGGTTTTCAATTTTTTTGATTCTCCGTTTGTTATTATATTTCGCCCCAATACTTTCCGGACAAAATGAGTATAAGGTTGTCTAGGCTTACTTGTATGGTTGAATTTTTACGAAATTTTCAAAAAAAGGTCTGCAAAATCGCCATAATTGGTTGGCCATTCCCCACTTCTAAACATTAGCCACTGCTAGGGTTAAAAGAGTACAATCTGGTCAATCCTGAGACTCCACCACCTAGAACAATAACCTCCCAGTATATATATGCCACAATACTCTTATCCAAAATATCATCTCCCACCCCACGATCAGACACTTTCACACCTACAACACCCGAAACAAACACAACATTAACACAAAGCAACACCAACTACAAAAAACCAGCGATATCCTTATCAATTCAGGTACATATTATTACAATTTATTACCAGAACATATAAAATCAACAACCACAATCAACAGCTTAAAAAAAAAACACAAAGAATACCTAATTAACAGGCCATATTACAAAACCACAGATTATATTGAACAGCACACAATCAACACCTCAAATGAGCAACTTTTTCAACACCCCTTCAAGGGGGGGGGGAGAAATCTGACGACTCCCCGATCCGAAGATTGTGACGAGGACTACTTGGTAAATGGTAAATGTCCAGAACATAATCCCAAAAAATAATAGTTTGACATAATTACAATGGCATTAATAGTCATAGGAGATTGATTCCCTTTTCATGTACTTCTTATTCCAAAAATGTAATGTGTTTTTCTAGCCTCTGCCTAATGATTAGCGTCCCAGAAACCTTCCTAGAGGATATGTTATATCCCCGCTTCCCTTTGAGGGGTCATACTTTTAACTCTCTATAGGAATACACTAAACCCCTCTGATTTGTCACATTTGATAATCTAACATCAGTTAGCGATTTTGGTGAAATTTATTCTTTCTTTGCAATAACAGATGTTTATAAACAGTTTTGTTATCAGCACTGCCAAAGTCCTGAATTTACTAGATTGCCGTAGCGAGTTAGTATTTCAATGCTCTCTAACAAATAATTTCCAAGTAGACATATTACAAACTCAATAGAAAAACAGGAGAGGATTAGGCCTAGTTCTAAAAAACTCTCTTCCTTAGTTGAAAATGATATCAGTGACAATGAAATATTCAAATGCATATAGTATGTATAGTGTATATAGTTTAAAGGTGTGTGTATCCTGTACCAGTTTGGACTCTTTCCCATTCAAATAAGCCTAATATCTTTTTGAAAATGCCATTATTGCCATTGTGCTCTACATAAATGTAACATCCTTAACCTTAATAAAAACTAATCTACCAATGAAAGTTTGAAATTTGTTTGCAGCGCTCTGCCTGTATTCCATGTGTTTTATGAGGTTCGCTTGGAAAGTTCAGCCGCAGAACATGTTGTTGTTTGCTTGTCACTTCACCAACGAAGGAGCACAGCTGACTCAAGGCGCAAGATTCATCAACTACCACTACCTCGGAGGCAAGGATGTCAAGAAAGAGTCTGAAACAAAGAGTTAATCACACCGATAACGGCGATAACATTCAGAATGATAACTTACATAGCTTGTGAAATAGTTGTTAGACAACTAGAAGAGATGCATGGATTTCTGATAGAGGTAACTAAAAGCAAAATGTGTTCATTTTCATTATAACTGCAACCAACGTACAAAACTTATTTGTTTTTTATCTTGTGACAAAAACTCTTGCCATTCCTATATGATCTTTTCTTCAATTTAAACCACTTCAACATTCATATTTGGAATCTCAGTTTATAACATAGACTAGACTGTAGTAGATATCAATTTATCTAGCACTCTTAACAGGGTTAGCAGCTAAACTGTTAAATCTATTTTTTGTAATTTATTTTGTTTCTTACCGCTGATTCGGTTATGGTTCTATATATTGTTATATTAAATAGTTTATGTAAATTTTGCTTAGTTTAGGTTATCAAAATGGTTATAGCTTTCCATAAACAGCCATTTTCGGCAGCAATACTTTTTTTATGTAGGCCTGCACCTACCAAATTTTAAATTGTGTTTTATTTACTTTTGAGAGTACCTACACTTTTTTACCAATTGATGTTTTATTTTACTATAAATGATTATTTTTCGGGATATTTTTATAGCTACTATTAAATTTATATTGTAAATTCTACCTCGATAAATTAATCTCAGCTACCAATCATGTAAGGCTAGTCAAAAGTGTGTTTTATACACGTCATGTTACCTGAACTTTTTTTTTAATTTTCATTAGTGTAATCGTAGTGCATACCATATTTGAAATATTATATTTTTTGGAGAGGTGGGGGGGGGGGGGTTAAAGATGGTCATTAACAGTAGCATTTTATAATCCAAGACTTCTCAAAACGCCAAGTTAAAACACTGTGATAGTTTACAAGTTATTTGAAGTTTTTAACCATAACAATATATTTTTATAATTATTTGTTTCTTTTGATCTAGAATTTATTTTACTTGGTTCTTTACTAAGATTTTGTGTATTAAATATGCATTAATCTTAATAATTTATATACATTGTTCCATTGAATTTATAAGAAGTATACTCTTTACAATAAAACTCTTAATTGTTACTTGTTATGAATAAGAAAGAGTCTGTTGTTTTTAATTATATAGATTAATTAGTTTAATCAAATAAAATCATAAAAAAATATTGGTTTGTTTTTAATTACCCAGATACATTTTTATTTCAACTGTTTTCCATTCTAGGGTCACACAAACTGAAAGAGATTTTGAATTTTTACAAAACTTTTTTATTAAATATTAGATACAAAACACAGTAGTACAAACAAAAATATATTGCATAACATGTAAATTACAATAACAATAGAAAATTCTCATTGGCGAGATACATTTAGAGAAAGAATATTTGTCAGAACTTATCTCGTTTTAACTGAGATTTTGAACTAAAACTGTTGAAAAGTTTGTAAAACTTGAGATAATTTAGAGAGCCCTACTTAAAGATAATGTGCACAACATACCTAGCAACACTTATTAATTACTATTTAGGCTATTCATACAAATAAATGGAAACACAGATTTTAAAACCAACAAAAGTAAAACTTAAATTTAAGAAAACAATGTAATCTGTTTGCTTATACATTTCAAATTTGAATAAACATTAAGCTTTATTATTATACTGAATTAAAATGACAGAATATTAGTTTGAAATTTAGTCTGGAACATTGGTGAAGTTATTAGCCTATGTACATCAATAATTAATTGCTTAGCTGTAAAGATCTAATTTTTTATCAATGTTTGATGTAGTTTTTTATTCTATATTTTTTCCGTAGCAATTGTATGCAATACAGATCAATTTTTTATAACGTTGTTTTCCTTGCTTGAAAATGTTCCAGTAAGTTCTCCTAAAAGCATCTCTTTTGGTATAGACTAAAAACAAAAGGTAGTCCTAAAATTCTATTTTACACAAGGAAAATGAAAATAGTTAAATTGACAATCCTATAGGAACTTCAACCACAAGTCACATAGAAGCAGATCTAGAACCAACTATAAAATGGTACTATTAAGTGTTTTTTTTTTTCATGGTTAGGTTATTTCCTTAAATTATTACCCGTTTATGTTGTGAATATTAATTTGTTTTGAGAGAAAGCACCAGAGAAATATTCAACTCTAATCACTATCGGACAAGTAGACCACGGTCTTCTTTGTTCTTGGAGTTGATCTCTGCACAGACAACGCCTCCTTGATGTTCTGCAACAGTGGGATAATATAAAACACTGATAACCCTACAGTTGATACTTAAATAATTAAGTTGTCAGCATAGTTTTTATCTAGGATGTGCTTGAAAGAATTCAAAATATACAATAACAATTAGTTAAAAAATCACAAACAAGAAAGAAAAGTACAGTGACATGCAACCAAAATTGGACAGGTCTTCTGAAGTGAACAATTCAAATTAACCAATCACAGCCGACTATAGTCATGAACAATCCAAAAGGTAGTTTCACGAAAGAGTAGTTTCTATACCGCTGGCAAAGATGGACATCTTAAGGCGGCTCCATACATGCCCCATTCGTCAAGCACAAAATATTTGACATTCCGGTAGTTGTCTTGCTATTCGCTGATTAATGAGTAGACGTCTACACACACGTTGTTTCCGAGAAACTGACTGTTTCATAGAAAACAAATGTTTGTCCACTTTGATGTGTGCAAAAATACCGACAATGAACAAGAAAACACAATCACAAATGTTTGCTGCTTGCCATATATAGACAAACACCTATCCACACTACTCGCAATTCAGCGAGTCACTGCTCGGTGCTTGGCGAATGGCGCATGAGCTGCCTTTAAAGATATCACCATCAAATGTTACACATATATTTAAGGGATAGTTCTAAAAGGAAGTTTTCACAATGTTTTGAAACTGAAATCAGAGTCCATTCTCAGGAATGTACCTAAAACCATTAACTTTTGGATACTGGAGTAAACATCTATATGGACCAGCAGTGGCCAAATCTTTATATATATATTTGAATCACTAGTACTGTGAATCAATAATTGACTCACTGAATGCACTACAGTCTACAACTCTTATTTTCCTCCTTTGTTTTTGGATAGTTGATGACGGAGAAGCTGTAGTTTACAATAAGTCGTCCTATCAGTTTGGCTTGGTTAAAAAGAAAAAGTTTACATATTCGATAGAATTCAGTAACTTACATGATCACACTCTGTTAGTGGCTCAAACTGCATTAATTTTTTTGCCAAAACCAGCAACAGCTTTAACATGGGTATGGAGTGTCTATCAATAGTCAAAGCAAAAACATAAGATTAAAGATTAGTACACTTAGGTTAACTGACCTTAGAACCAGCTGCGGCCGCCCCTCTAGCACCCCTGGACCCTCGGCCCCCTCTACTCCCCCTCCCTCTGCCTCTACCACGGCCACTGGTCGAAGGGGAGGCTATGGCAGGTCTGATAGGAGCACGGACTGAGCCGTTCACAGCCTCGCCATCGTCTGAGTCGGAGTTGGCCAATACATTCTGCGTGTTGCCATTTGTCACACTCCTGTTTCTGTTGTCTAGCACCATCTCAGCCTAAAAGAGCAAGAATCAAGAATTTATTGTAACAAAACAAGTACAAACACATTGTCCATCAACAATTGGCAATAATAGGGCTAAAAAGCTATAACTAATAGATTAATTATAAGTTTAAGATTTTAATAATATAGGTCAGCGAATAACAGGCTATTTTAAACTAGTTGACAGTAGTGTAGGACACAGCCAGTAGTAATATATTGAAACTGTAACAAATAAGATCTGAAAGAAAAATATTATAAACAGTATTTGGAAGATGTTATCATGGGGCATTGCCCCCATACTCCACCAAGTTGTACAATGACACAATTTCATAAAAGGTTTAGCGTAAACCTCATCAAATATTCTTGAAACTTCTGGTTACCTCTCTAATCTCCTGTTCAGCTGCTTGCATCCTCTCCAGACGGAAGTTCTCAATCTCTTCCAACACTGTGTCCTCATTAGCAACCACCTTCTTGTCAACAATGTACTTCACAGTCCTCTGCATCTGATGTCTGATTGAAACAAATTAATCGTCCAATTACATGTGTATGAAGAATGTGAACCGTTAAAAATTCTTGAGATATTGAGTAATAATTTGAAACAGCGTTTGAATTTTAATCTTTTCTTTCCAAGGGAAGGCTTTAGGTCAGGATTATGACTTCTAGAATAATGGATAAGCTAGCTGCTATCCTTTTATTGTGATTTTTCACTAATCGTGATAGAAAATATTCCCACAATTAGAGCTGTTTTGATACATAGCATAGCATTAGTGTTACTAATAATATCCTATAGTATGATATTGCTTTATTGGAAATCCTATTTCAGTCGGACTGGACATTGTAAAATATGTTCTTAGACATTGAAAAAGTTCAGAGTTTTGGTTTGGAGTTGAGTTTTTGGAGGTGCCACTAGGTGTCGAAAGAGATTCATGTCTCTTTTTTATCTTTTAAAATTTTCTACACTCACTTGGTGATGTCCGTGATAGCGTCAGTGTCCCCTTTGTCTATGAAGCGCTTCACTGCCTCGGCCAGTCCTTGCACGGAGAGCACTCTTAGTTGTTTAGTGTCAGTCTCCGTAAAGTAACGTTCTACTACGTTCTCAGCTCGATTGCCCCATTCGTCTCCCATTTCTCCCTGATATTGACAATAAACATTATGATTTCATGAGATTCGTCAAAATAATTAGAAATTTTCCTAAAATTAGGTGTGAGAAAATTCTATAGTGCTGGTGAGAAAATGAATTCTCTCAATGTAGGTTATATATTATTGTATTAAATTATGTATTAGATGCTGTTGAACATAAGTAGTAAAGTACAAAATGTAAGCAACAGCAAGAAACTTATAAATTACGCTACAAGACCAGGAAGTAGGTGTTAACGGTGCAAGCATGATTGTTCCTGCGCTCGAACAAGCATCGTTCAGAATTTCATAGAAATAATTTTAACACCTTGAATGAGTTGCGTACAATAATTTTACCAGCAACAAATGCGTTAAACATAAGGGTGAGTAAAATACAACTTGTACACAATCACAACACTGTATAATGTACACTATTTTAAATATTAACATTACATTTTAATTTTTTAACACGTTGACTGCGCGTGCCGACTTTAGTCGGCGTCGCCAGCGCTCCCAGGTGGCGCGCGCCGACTACAGTCGGCACCAGACCAACAGTAATATATTGAGTCAGTGTGAGCTTAGCCTCAGACGGAGACGTTATAATCGTTGCCAGCCTGCCAGCTTAGAATGCGAGCTTTACTTTGGTGTAGGTTGGTACTAAAATTTCCCGTAAAATCCCGTCTGGCAATGCTTTTGTCCCGGTTTCGGGGATTTTTTCTCTTCAACCCACATTACAAAGACACTGGATACGGATCCATGCAGTGCTGCTACCTTTGGGTGTTTCAGTGAACTACATCCACTCTCGGGGTAACGCAGCACAGTCACCACTGCTCTTTTGTGATTCGTCAGACTGAAATATTTGAATGCCAATTGCGTTCGCTGATTCGGTTGCGCGCCGGGGCTTCGCCCGCCACTGGGGAGCGCCTGTAAAGTCGGCGCGCGCAGTCAACGTGTTAAAAGTGTATTATTTTTGTATTATAGTTTTTAAAATATTTTCATCGTGGACAATGTGAATTGCTATTAAAGTGTACGGCTTTGTTCAATAGTTTGTTTTTTTAACAGACATCTTTGTTGTGAAGAACCCTACAATTATCTCCATTCATACTTGACTTAAAATACCTACATTAGTATGATCACCATTTCATAAGACAGTATTAAAGTAAAGCACAGTAAGAGTGCTAAGTAAATTAGCATAGTAGTTTTAGCGTGTTTAGTGAGTCGGTGGCTCAGTCGGTAGCGTCACGGAATTCGGGCCTAAGGCAGCGATGTCGTGGGTTCGGATCCTGGTCACTGCCGATAACAATTTATCAGTACAGTTCACCTTTGTACTCTACCGGCTCACTCCTTGCTTTGCTGTAAACGATCCACGCACGGGCGCTTAGTATATGTGGACAGGCAAATGCAAGGTTAAAAGAGGCTGCCAACCTCTTTAAAAAAAAAAAATTAAACAAGCTTCAGCTGAGAGAGACCTTTTAGCAAACAACTACTTTCTTGTCTACAAAGAAACCAGAAACAAAGCTTACTGTTTTGTATGGCAAAAATGTAATAATCACCTTCTGATACCTTTGAGCTCATTGCATAAACTATGTTAATAATGCATGTCAACAAACATCAAGCTTATTCAAAATCTTCATCTACGAGTATTTGAACACTACTCACATCCTCTTCATTTCCAAGCACATTCTCCATCGCGTCTTTGTCAAAGTCACCTTCAGTCTTGACCGTTCTCTCTTTTCTGACTCGCTTCAGCAATATCATGTCTGTTGGGTTGGCGACTTGCCCTGTGAACAGCTGACCGAAGCGGATGGGGTTGAAATACTCCATCTCCTCAGAGTATTCCACCCTTAGACGTATAAGAGGGAGTGTTGGCTGCTTTCTGTGCCCTTTAAACCAGATACCAACAAGTATTAAAAACCTGGTAGTTTTTTGTTGGTTAAAAATACATTAAAGAAGAAAGACACAAGAAAACAGTTCCAGACAGTTGACAGAACTTAAAAATTTCCATTTAGGAGGGTAGTACTTTTTTTAAAGAAGCCTTTTGTGGGGGGGGGGGGGGGAATATCCAAGTCATTGTGTTATTGTGTTGTAAAATCTTTGTGTATATTGTCAACTGGCTGGACCTCTTTTCTTGGACCAGTTAGTTGAATATCCATTCCTAATGCATTTTTAAGCAAGTGCTACTCCAAAAACCAAAGACTAATCTAAAAATTGTCAAAAAATAACTTTTTGCAAGTAATAATACATAAATCAACAACTCTAGATATAAACTCCGACCAGTCGTGTTGTAAAAAACTGTAGTTATGCGTGTTGTGTCTTTATTGTTTCAAACCCTTCCCGGACGGGCGAAATCGTGACATAGAACGGGAAAAACTTCTGTCCGGAACATCAAAAACTATAAGCAGATATATCCGGCACCTGTCCTTTATCACCAAAGACTTAGGCGGATATATCCGTCAACCGTCCGTGAAAGGTTAAATGTATATGTGAAATATAATGATGGCTCCATCAAGAGCCAAAACTATTTGTCATAACAACCAATTGGATTACTGAAAATAGGCCTACTGGTATCTAAACCACTAATAAGATTTTTTTTATTTCAATCCTGTCATTGTAAATACGGTTTTCTATTATATAATTATATAGGTTAAAAGTGAGAAAGGGCCATGCAGCACAATCATTGCTTGTTGAAATAAAGGTAATTTAATTATGTAAATCCTAAATACATAAAACCTAATGAATATATGAGAATTATGGAACTTAAGCTAGCATTCTTAATTCATACTGTACACAATATCTCTTGTACATTGCACTTTACAGTAGACAATACAATCTACAATATTTTGAAAACAAACAATAACTATGTACCAGTTATTAGTCGTTCAGCTCTTTTAATCAGTTCTTCAACTCTTCCAGTAACATACTGTTGAACCTAAAAAATAGATTTTTATGCTGGTTATTTTAACACATAGGCTAAACCATATATTCATAAAAACAATGCTAGTGGTATTTGTATATTTCAGTTTAATTAAAAAGCTGTCACTCTCTCTATATTTTGAGTGGGGGCCACTATTAAATTTTAAAGCTGTTGGAGTTACAACATCATCCAATTTACTTATTACCTGTTTTATAAAATCATATGTTATATATCTAGTTTTGTTATGATAAAAAAGTAAATAAAAGTTATTATTGTGTGAGTGTTATTAAAGAATAGTTGATTCAATTTTAACAGATTATGAGACTCAATTAAGTGAGGAATATGGAAAGAAATATGAGTAATCACATTGAACTTTTGAACAGAAATAGTTATGACACATGGAAAATGCAGATGGAAGCAATTTTAGTTAAAAATGATTTACTTGGGTATGTGTTAGGAACCATTAAAAGGCCTCTAGAAGAAGGTGAAAGAATGACTGCTTGGCTAATCACTGATGCAAAGGCAAAGGCAGATATAATCCTCTCTATCAGCCCAAGTGAATTAAAGCAAGTGAAAGGATGTAACACTTCAGCAGAGATATGGGAAAAATTAAAAGGCATTTATGATTCCAGTGGACCAGCAAGGAAAGCCTTTTTGTTAAAGAAGCTAATTTTGGCAAAACTGACACCTGATTATGATGTCAGAGATTACATGAATATGTTTTTTGATGTAGTGGACAAATTAAAAGGAATGGAAATCGATATTAATGAGGATCTTTTGACAATTATTCTTTTGTATTCCCTGTCAGATGAATTTGAAAACTTTAGAATTGCTATTGAAACTAGAGATGCACTGCCTTCTCCTGAAACTTTAAAAATAAAAATTGTAGAAGAGTGGGAAGCGAGAAAAGAACATGGTAAGAAAGAGAGTAGTGAAGCTCTGCTAGGAAAATTTCAGAACAAAGTTAGATTTCAACCAGGAAGATTTTCAAAAGACTCTTATAGAAATAGAACGGAATCAGTTGATTTTCCGTTTCGATGCTTTATTTGTAAAGCAATCGGGCATAAAGCAAAATTTTGTCCCAAAGCAAATAAAGATCAACAAAACGTAGCGATTGCTAAACTAGAAGAAGTAGGACTTAATTCTTCTGTACAAGATGACAGTTATTTTGGAAACTTGTCAATGAAAGATATACAGTGGTGTTTGGACAGTGGATGCACTTCACATATGACTCATGTGAACAGTAAATTTACCAAGTACAAGCCTGCAAATGGAAGAAGTATATCTCTTGCCAACAATTCATCAACTGATGCAAGAGGGGTTGGAACAGTTAATATGAACATTTTAAATGGGAGTACAAATCTAAGCGTTAATTTGTATGACACTTTGTATGTACCAGAACTTCGAACAAACCTGATGTCTGTAGCTAAAATTACTGACCATGGGTATCAAGTTTTGTTTAAAAAAGATGCTGCTTTGATAATAGATCAGAATGGACAGACAAAGATCCACGCGAATAGGTTAAATGGACTTTATTACGTACAAGAGAGTAGTGAAGAAATGAATATAAGCTGTGAAAAATCAAGTCTATTGTCTTGGCACCAACATTTTGGACACTTGAACTTTGGAGACTTGAAAAGAATAATCAATTTAAATATGGTTAAAGGTATTAAAGTGAACACAAAAGAGCTTATTCCACAATGTGAGGTGTGTATTCAAGGAAAATTTACAAAAAGACCCTTTCCTAAAAGTGAAAGAACATCAGAAGTGTTGGACATTATTCACTCTGACATCTGTGGACCAATGAAAACTGAGTCACATGGAAAATCTCAATATTTCATTACTTTTATTGATGATAGCTCAAGATGGGTTGAAGTTTACTTTTTGAAGAAGAAAAGTGATGCATTAGATTCTTTCAAAAAGTACAAGAACAAAGTAGAAAATTTTACTGGAAGAAAAATTAAATATCTTCAAACAGACAATGGAGGAGAGTATGTTAACAGAGAGTTCGATGGATTTTTGAATTGTAATGGTATTCAGAGAAGATTAACATGTAGCGGAACGCCTCAACAAAACGGAGTGACTGAACGGATGAATCGTACATTAAACGACATGGCAAGATGTTTGCTCATTGAAGCAAATCTTCCTCAAACGTTTTGGGCAGAAGCAGTTGCAACAGCAGCTCATGTTAGGAATAGATGCCCATCAGATGCAATTGATGGTGTATTACCATATCATAGATGGTATAGGAAAATTCCAAATGTTTCATATCTAAAAAAGTTTGGTTGTAAAGGTTTTATCCTAAACAAGACAAATGACAAGTTTCAATCAAGAGCAAAAGAAGGGATATTTGTTGGTTACTCAGATGTATCAAAGGGCTGGAGGATGTGGTTACCCGAAGATAGGAAAATCATTACAACTCGAGATGTAGTTTTTGACACATCTTCCTTTCCACATGTCGATGCAAATCATACTAATTCAAGCTTTAGGGTATTGCCTGTAGACAGTTTACTCCAAAGACATGAAAAGGTCGAAGAAAATCAAAGAAGTGTTCAAGTTGATCAACCAAAAGGTACTGATGAGAAAAATGTACTTGATGATAGGCAAACATCAACAAATGAAACTAAAGAACATATGTCAAATGAAATGGAAGAGATTGAACATGACGAGCCATATATAATTGATGGGGATAATAATGGAGATGATCATCAGAACAATGATATTAACTTGAAAGTAAGAAAATCTGAAAGAAAAACAAAAGGTGTTCCTCCTAACAGACTATCATTAATAGCTCAAGGAAATGTGATTGAACCAAAATCTTGGAAACAATTGGAGAAATTGTCTGAACCTGAGAAAAAACAATGGGTTGTAGCAGCTCAAGAAGAAATGGAAGCCTTATTAAAAAATGATACATGGGAACTTGTAGATTTACCTCCACAGAAAACAGCAGTTGGATGTAAGTGGATATTTAAAGCAAAGTATGGAGATGACGGTATGGTTGAGCGCTATAAGGCACGTTTAGTAGCCAAAGGTTACTCACAGAAATATGGAGAAGACTATGATGAAATATTTGCTCCTGTTGTTAATTCAACAACAGTAAGAATTTTACTAACCATAGCAGCGACAAAAGATCTGACTGTGCATCATTTTGATGTAAAAACAGCCTTTTTAAATGGAAAGTTAGAAGAAGAAATATATATGCAACAGGCCGAAGGTTTTGTGAAATCTGATAATGAAGATAAAGTTCACTATTAAATTTTAAAGCAACATAACCACTGTTGCCTTGCCACATCAAATTACATTCTTAAGGTATTTTCAGGACATAATTTTTTTTTAACTCTGCCTTTAACATGTATAGCATAGCCTCCTTTAATACAAGGCTGCAGAGTTGGTGTGTGGCAACATCGCACCAGCCAGGCTGTTGCCATGGTAATAACAGTAATACACAACGTGAACAAAAGAATAGCTCAGATGCTCTACTATAAATTAGTGCAATAGCTTTTTTGGTTTTCCAAGACAGCGATGTTGCCACTTTTTGTCTTGCCGCGCCAGGAGGCTACGGTTCAAGCCAAATAAAAGATTTTCATAACAATACTCTTAATCTGTTGGTTAAATAGACCTGCATAAATAGCCTATTTACCTCAAAATTACTTATCGAAACGAAACACAACAATGTTTTGTGATAGAAGACCAAAAATTATGTAAATAAGAAGCAACAGAAAACTTTAAAGAAATATATGTAACTTAACCTCTTCATTTAAAACACCACCCGCTCTGTTCAAGGTGCAGTTTGACAGGCTCATAGAGTCCATTACAAACGGCCTGACTGTTTTCAATTTGACCTTTTCTGTCTTGAATTCTTTTTTGTATATGGTAATGACGGATACAAATTTCTCTACGGCTTCTCCCTCACAGAGGGACGTTGCGACTGGACTGCCTGGAATGAAATAATGGGAAATTAAATCTCTGATAAGGCACAACACTCTACAGTTTATCACAGCTTTACGAATGGGAACTAGAAAGCTAGATGTTAGTACTGGAGGCTATAAATTCATTCAGCGTAAAAAAGCCAATCGTACAGAGTTTGGTGAATCAGTGTGTTCAGTCAGTAGCGGTAGCACGACAAACTTCGGGTCCAAGACAGCAATGTCGAGGGTTTAAATTCTGGTACTTGCCACTACATTTTATTAATACAGTTCACTCCTGTACTGTACTGGCTCACCCCTTGCTTTGCTAGGTAATTTTTAATTGCTACTAGCGGAAAACGGCCACTCCACTGACCGTCATGGTACAACCATGTCTCTTAACAGTAAACTAATTGTCAATTTATAACCAATAAGGAGGTGAGATAGGAAGGCTAAATTCAAGCAATGATAACTTGCAAAATCCTATCCTAATGCAATACCTGGGTAGTATAATCTGTAATCATACTAATATTATACATGTAAAGTTTGTGTGTTTGTTTGAAGTTCAATAACGCATTAACTACTGGTCGGATTGGGTTGAAATTTGGTATGATTATAGCTCACATTCCCGATTAACATATAGACATATTCTTATCTCTCTGCCCCAGTGGCTCTAAAGTTATTCATGTAACCATATGATTATCCATAGGCTATTTAAAAGGAATTAAAGAATTTTGTCAGCTGTTTCACACAACAACTACTTATGTTGGTTCTGATATTCAATAGCATTAAGGGGATATGGCAGTGAAATAATGATTTTTTTTTCAAAAAAGTGATTTTTTAAATTTGTCTATTATTTATTATTTATAATGCTAAAAATAAGAAAAATTGGTCAAAAAAAAAAAAAAATTTTTGTGCTTCCTTAGGCTATATTAAGAAAAATACGGAAAATATTGTTAAAAAGTCCTGTCAATGACTTTTTTTGGTAATCTAATATATAAAACTAGAGAACCCGTGCGGCTCAATGAGCCGCATAGTATGAAACATAACGCTTAGGAAAACTTTATGCTTAAATTCGAGCAATTGTAGCTACATCTTAGAGTTGTTTAAACACTTGTTAGTAACTAATTTTAAATATCTCTGTTTGCGTCGTCAAGGTTCACCTACATTATTTCTGCTCTCAGTTGCAATTGATAACTTCTAATGAATGTTAAACGATCTGCTTCAATTCGAGTTAACATGTTGCAACAAAGTTTTTCCAGCTTTGAGAATTGAAGAAAACTGTTGCCTTAGGCCTACTACCTGTGTTTAGTAATTTAAGTTGGATCATTTTATTTCTTTGATTTGAGACATCCCCCTAATCAAACGAATTTTCTTCGTGGAGAACCCTGAAAAGTTAGGTGATATCAAACATTTCATGTGCTCCATTTTTTGCCAACTTAAGTGGCATAATCTGCTTTGAATAGGCTAAGGCTCGTTTCACATCTACCCGGCTTCTACCCGGCATGCCGTTAACCCGACTTCTAGCCGGCACCGGCACGAGTGCACCTTTCACATTACGCCGACACCGGCACTCCGGCAGTTGTACTCAAGCTTGTGAAATTTGTGTGTCGTAGGGATGGAAATAGAACGTAATAGAGCAATTGTAATGTTAGGTACTTTGAAATAACTTTATTGCAATGGTTATTTGATTTTTTAAAATTTGATTCAGTTTGAATTTGAGTAAAATTTAATTCAATGTTATGCAATAAAATAAAATCAAAAAATAAATTGAGTAAAAATTCTATTTAATTCAAATAATTCTGCTCTTGAACTAATAAAGAAGTAGTTCATAGTCTATTCATGGACATGACCAAAACTTTGCGAACAAATACCCAAAATTAATACACATTAACTACAAAGAACTGAACTAAAAGTACTCTTGGTGCACCCGACACACGGCAGGTGCCGGTTGTATGTGAACAGTCACATTGGGCCGCTATACCCACTACTCCAGCCGACTTGTTTACCCGGCACCGGCAGCCGGCCTTCGCCGAGGGGGCACCCGGCATCCCTCGACTAGTACCCGGCAGCCGGGCAAGTGATTAACCGGTCACGACACATGCCGTGCATGTGTGAACGGTGCCATATACTTCTTCACCCCATTGCCGGTTAAACGACACCCGGCACCCGGCAGCCGGGTAGATGTGAAACAGGCCTAAAGCAGCAACACCATTGAAAGTTGGTTAACGTATTTTAACGTGTTGTCTGTCAGTCTCACGTTTTTCAGTGGAGTTTCTCTTAATACCTGTCCCAACGTTTTGAAAGTATCGATTCATTTGTCGAAATAGGTTAGATAACTCTTCATCTATGCTTGTAGCTATACGATTTGGATAGCAATTTTCGTATTCTCTTTTTGAACAGCGTATATTATTTGTCTTTCCTAAATCATAAACATAAACTTGGCCGTAACAACCCGATCGTTGAATACATAAATGCTAATTCCTTCACTTATATGTTTGGTCTAATATTGCCACTAAAACTTTCAATAGCAAATTAGTTGTTGAAACTTCTTATTTTTGACTTGAAATGTATGGATTGTGTTGGTAAATTCAGTCAATAGACCTTGTATAAGTTTTCCCGAGGAACTGGAAAAATAACCTAGAAGTAAACAATCCATTTGCGTTTTTTCTCAATTGAAGTAGAGCGAGTAACACATAAGTTTACAATAAAAATATAAGGTCTGCCAAGATTTGGTATAATCTTACTACTTGAACTCATCATAGTCAAGGCATTAAATATAGTTTATACTGAATGTTTTGAAATATCTAGTTTTGTCAGTGTCAGAAGTAAACATTTCTTGCATGCATTCATTTGATCTGACATTAGGCAAGTTTACTTTACCACCGTGACAACACTATGTGCTTCGTACATTTTTTCACTTCCAAAGTGAGTTGCATAGCAGAACCGTCGATGTATAGCAGAACTGGCAAATATTGTTCATATTACCAAGTGAATGTGTATCTGGATGGGTGTCTGTTAGACCAGGCCACTCTATTTCTACTCTCCTCATACGCATAAGATATCTTATTATTAATTGTCTCCTATTTAAGTTTTCAATATTTCTTCTTTGAACTTGAGGCATTTTCTGTTCTTCCTACAAAACTGATTACCGGTTTAACTTGGTCTTAACCTTCTGAATAAATATTACAAACATTAATATTTACTCCCAAAAAGCAGTTTTTTTTATAAACAGCTGTTTTTGGCTTTTAAATTTCTCCTATGTATTTCTTATGGAGAAAATCCGACCTTTGAGAGGGTCTCACGCCCTTCAGAATAGGAATTTTAAAATTCTAAAACCTTATTGCAAAACTACATATTGAGACGAAACTTTTGACACCTTAAACGTTAAAATTGGTCTACAAATAAGGGAGGAGTTGCGTTAACAAAAAACGGCTTCACGTATTATATATATAGATTCTCGTGTCACAGTGTTTGTCTGCAAACTCCTCCGGAACGACTTCACCGATCGTTATGAAATTTGGTGTGTAAATTCTGTAGGTATGCGAATCGGACGTAAACTATTTCCCGTTTCGAAATTCTTAAAAGGGCTCCGCCCCAGTGGCTCTGGAGTTTCCCATGTTAACCTTATGAGAAATGGAATTAATGAATCTTAACAGCTGTTTCAATTAAACAAGTTGGTTCTGTTCTATGATGTTCAATAGCATTAAAGTTACAAGGATTACCAACAGGGTGCAGCACTATTATTTCTTTTACATTTATGACAACAGCTAATTTGCAACCAAAAGGTGAGTGAGCGTAGCGAACGAGCTAACCTGAAGGCAAGTGAGCGCAGCGAACGAGCTCCAACCTAAAGGTGAGTGAGCGTAGCGAACGAGCTCCAACCCAAAGGTGAGTGAGCGTAGCGAACGAACTTCAACCTGGAGGCGAGTTAGCGTAGCGAACAAGCTAACCTGAAGGCAAGTGAGCGCAGCGAACGAGCTCCAACCTAAAGGTGAGTGAGCGTAGCGAACGAGCACCAACCCAAAGGTGAGTGAGCTTAGCGAACGAACTTCAACCAGGACGTGATTGAGCGATGCGAACGAGATCATCTTGAAAATTAAACGTAACGGTACTTTCTTTCCATCGGTCTGTCTTAGGGGAAACCTATAACTTAGGCGATACGAAGTTCGCCGGGTCAGCTAGTAATAATAATAATTATCATTATTATTAATATTAATAATATAATAATTAAGTAATAATTACATAATAATATAATAAATAATAATAAAATGCTTGCATAAACAAAAAAAATGATCCATAACTCAACAATAAGTATCACCATGGTTACACTGCCAAGTGCAACATTAGCGTGTGATTCCCGCTAATCAGTTTTTTAACGTAAGTTTTTAACTACTAAATTTGATATATCTTCAAAACGGTTTATGCTACATGATTCAAATTTTTACCAAGTGTTTATAATGTTATTATCTAAATAATTAGGTAGAATTGTAAATGTAGCCTATATGTCTATTCTAAAGTGAAAAAAGATTTTTTATTTACACAGAAAACCAATTAATTTTTTTTAAATACAAAATGACCCATAAAAAATTAATAAATAAAGATACTGTTATAATTCTACCTAAATATTTAGAGGGCATTATTCCCTGCAAACTGATGGTTTAATGATTAAAATCCAATAATTAGAACTGAAGTTATATCAAATTTAGTTAATTACCTAAAAAAAAAAACTAAAAAAAATATTAAGGGTGTACTTAACAAAAAAATTTACTTTTAACTATGTTTATACCTATTCTTATGCCTATAAAACACATGATATAAGTTTGAAAGACCTAGTGATAATGTTAAGGAAGTTAGCATTTTTACTGCCATATCCCCTTAAAAGGTTATAAGGTTTACCAACAGGGTGCAGAACTATTATTTTTTTTTGCATTTATGACAACAGCTAATTTGAATCAAGCAGCACCAAAAAGCTGTGGGAACTTTACTTTTTCCTATTGTTTAGATGCAGTGGTAGAATATTATGCCTTTTGTAGATGTGCTATACTATAGTATACAGTAGAACACCGGTTAACCGAATTCGGATTAGCCAAAACCCGGTTTAACTGAAACGGTTCCATAAATTAATACAGGGCTAAAATATAAGTAATACGTAATGTAAAATGCTTTAGTAACTTCAGTTGTTTAGCTTAAAGTATTTTCTAACCCATTGTAACATTTCTGTAGCTGAAATAAAATACTGTATTATATAAACACTAGGTGTAACCCGTCGAAATCGACGGTTAAGGGCCTCCTCGTTTATATGGTCATGTGGCTTCACTGGCATCAAATAATGCAAATTAAATAGCAATGTGGCACTTCCAAAGAGAAAAACATACTGTAAATTGGCTGTTACATAAATATTGATGTCAACGTATCTTATAAAGGATAATGTGATCTAGTTTAAAAGGAATATGACCTTTCTGTTATAGACAGTAGCTGCTTAAATAGTATTTACTCTTACAGCCAAAATATCGTGTTACTTTCGATAATGTTAGCAACCCAGTGGGCCACGGTCCGTAATATAGGCCACTGCAAATAATTTGTCAAGATAGGTACCATTTTAGGCAAGGTTTTTGTGTTTGGATGTTATTAGACACGATAAGAGCACACTGAACTTCTTCTGCAGATGAATAACTGTTGGATAAATATAAGCCGATTCATAAATGTCACAATGCGAGTTTGAGCATTTTGTAACTATATGAGGAAGTTACATAGTATTTAACTGTTTCATTTTAGCTGTTTCATTAAAAAGTATTACAGTATCCACATGGTTTAAAATGTAAACAAATCTGTGGAGGTATCTTTTGAAGGCTTCTGGGGCAGAGCCCTAAGGGAATTTACTTTGTTTTTCTTTTGATAACTCATCTACAGACCAAGACCTTTCTTTGGACACCTTTACCAAGTTTCTACGCCCAGCCATTATCTTAAATTAGTGGAGACAAAGTTTCCAATTAAATATTTAGATTCCCCATGTTAATTATATGGGAGAAACCCCAACTTTGATGGAAGATCCAGCCCGAACTAATAAGGATTTAAACAATATAAAAACACTTTGCAAAACTACAGATCAGGGCCATTCTTTTGAAAATTTAATCATCAAAATCGGTCCAAAAATAAGGGACGAGTTCTGTTTATAAAAATCGGCTTAGCGTATTATATATATAGATTGTTTTAAATTCATTTTCCAACTCACTGTAGTAATACATAGGCTATATTTAGCATTTGAGGGGTTAACCAAAAACTTGGTTATCCGAAATGGCTTTCCCCCCTTTATTTCGGTTATCCGGGGTTCTACTGTACTGTGTCATCTCCCATTAAAAACGCAAAGCACGAGTATAACATCATCATCAATGAGCATTTTATACTTATACTCCAACCCCGTACGAAGGACACTCTGCTAGTATAGGTCATAAGTGTGATTTGTGTACTCTTACATCCAAATTAAATGGTCATATTACGGAAAAAGTATGTTTTTTCTGACGGTATTCACTTGCTAACCTGGTTGTATGACAAAGAAGCCCTGCTTAGCGTTCTTCTCGGGCTCAATGCGACACTCGTGCTCGTGGCCCCAGATCACAAGGTCTAGGAACTCGTCGAGTGCATGCTCTGGTAGGTAGTTGTTAGGACCTCTCATCACTCGGTTCTGATGCAACACCAAGATATTGAACCATTCGTCGCCAAACTCCTTGGGCCTCAACATCGTCACCTGCGGCCATTACAAATGTTTCAATAGTTTTAACCAACCAAATCTTATAAATATGAGTTGACAAGTAACACAAAACTCTACTATGACTGTAAGGTCTCTTCAATTTTATATTTCCTACTGAAAAAAAATGGAATTTCAAGTGATTACTTTAGCAGGGAACTATAGTCATTGTCGTTTGATTGATGTGAAACCACAGATACTTAGTCTACTGTTTTCAGCCAATACATTTGTAAAATCCTTATTCTCCCAAAAAAAAATGAAGACAACTTTGACCAGCATAAGTACTGGACACATAGAGCAGAAGATCTGGACAAGTCTTGATGTAGCCTTAGCCCTTCAAAAACCAAGCTCTTGTGAAAAGGCCATTATACTTGCTAACTGAGCCACTTGTTCAGCCTTGACAACGAAAACTGAAATCTCTCAAATGGACATGAAACAAATTTGTTACCTAGTTTTTTTTTCATATTGGTTTTAGAAACATATAAAGCATTGACGTGAAATTGGCTACACTGTAATATATCAATAACCACCCTACTGCAGAGGGAAATTAAAATTTTGTAACCTTAGAAACTCTTTCTGTGCTCGAAAACTTTAAACCCTTTAAGGCGGGGTTTTATAACACCCACCGGATCCTGGTAAGGTTGTTTTTTTTCCAAATCGCACAAAAAGTACACCTCGTTTTGGCATAAGTGTTTTTGCTAGTCCTGATTAAATTAATAGTTCCATCATTAAAATAGAAATTCACAAAATACCTAGGGCTATTCACAAAATAGCTAGTAAATGGAATTTTAAGTTCATAATCAGAACAACTAATGGGTTATCTAGAGAGCTCATAACCTTATAATATCAACTTTTCATGGTTGATACTATATACGATAATATATGTATCGTTTGGAAACAATACATAATCTGTCCATGTCACACTCACTTTGATCGGGAACAGCTGTAAAAGATTGAGCAACTAATAAACAATGTGCTGTATACAGTCTAGTTTGAAATAGTTCACCGATTGGTCGTCAGATGCCACCTCACCAATTGGGTTGCATCATGACAAGCGGATCTTATCAAACCGTAGCAATGTCTTTTTACGCATGATGAGAAAGGCTCAAACCGCCTTGAAGGGTTAAGCAACAATATTTATAACCTTAAATTACGTAAGACGATAAACACTGATTTGGTCAAAACTTTCACTTAACAGTGCCTCGAGGCTAGCTTTTTTATCAACTTTTTTTTATTTTCCACTGATATATACAGTTGCAAAACATAACTACATAACTATCAATGTGAGATGATAGTCTGTGTCATTCAAAAAACTACAACTATTCTTTGATTTCCAAAATTTATTGTAAAGTACCCATTAATACAATGTAACACACCTTCCTGTTTTTAAACAGTCTCGAAAGTCTTTCGTCTTTGATGTAGCTCAGTCCGTACATTGCCAACTTAGACTCTCCCTTCTGCATCAGTAAAGGACTAATCTGGATCTGTGTGAGGTCTGTCCACTTGCCGAAGTAGTTGATCAATCCAGACGCACTCAGAAGATCTAATGTGGCCACCTGGCCATAACCTGAACAAAAAAATTTATAAATAAAAACTTTTTTAAAAACAAAACGTTTTTAAACGCACTAAAAAGTAGAAAATAATTTATAAATATGTTGAGAGTTTAAATACTTGTAAGATTTAAAACGAAAAACGTGGGGTGCATGCAATAGATAATTTACAATTACCTTCACCTATTGAACTAATGTATTATTATCAATTAATTGCATGCACCCAACGTTTTTCGTTTTAAATCTTACAAGTATTTATACTCTCAACATATTTATAAATTATTTTCTACTTTTTAGTGCGTTTAAAAACGTTTTGTTTTAAAAAAGTTTTTTATTTATAAATTATTTTCTTTAGTCTTTAATGTGTAAATATGTTAAATATAGTGGCGCCTGGATGCAGCCTATTTGCAACTTGTAATTACAACCAAAAAAGTAATTTAATTTTTTAAATTCAATGTATTTTAGATCATTTGAAAATAAAAGGAGATTGATCAAATATTTTTATCCTCATACTTTTTCAGGTAGGCATATTATAGAAAGAAGCCTTTTCTTAGCAACATCCCATAAATTTAAAAGAAAACAAAGAGAGCTTAGGCCAATTCATTATTACCACTAGGATCATCATGATTTCCATGAATCGAGAAGACCGGAATCGAAATATTCAAGTTTGGATCTTCATAATTGACAACAGGGTTGACACAATGCTGAAAGTTTTCTGCTTGATCACTTAAAAACTCGACAGTCACGGGCCTGAAACAGGAACAAATACAGGTTTTTTATAATTATATTAACCAGCAACAATTTTTCCCCCTAAAACGCTTTGCTTTCGCCGGGGATAATTTTTTACACAACTTCGGGAGGGGTGCAGCATTGTGCATCACTAAGATAAAATCCATTGGTTTTAATTAATATCTCATGGACCAAAGTCCCGCACTCTACCACTAGACCAGCTCGCTCCCAGCAAAACAAAAAATGAAAACAATGTAGGTTGGAAGTGTTGCTTAAAGAGATAGACCTAATTGATGTTTTATATGCACTATAAATAAATAAGTAAATTAATATAAATAAATAGCCTAGGTAAAAAACTGTAAATAAGTAGTAGTTTAGTAGGCTAATTATAAATTATTTTAAGTTAACTGTAGTCAAAATCCTAATTGATTAATGCAAGCTCCCAAAAATTGTTCAGCTACATTTTCATATGATCACATGTTTGCTCGTTAATAATCTAACACTACCCTGATTCAGATTGGCTCTAAAATTAAAACACTAACTCTGAACAGTTTTTGTGTTGTCTGTTGTGTCCAGTGGCGTAACAGCCGGCCCTGCAGACCCCCGGTGCAGGGGGGGGGGTCTGCGAGGTTGAGATACCCTTTTCTCCTAAAACCGTCCGTAAAACCGATCCTTTGTTCACGGATGTTTTTCTCCCGTGACAAATTTTGAACAGGAAGTTGATTCATCCCAAAATCCTATCTTTTTTGATCATGTCAGTGATTTTCCATCTACATCAAGACACTCCGATTGAAAAAGATGTTGTGGTAAGTGAAGAAACTTGTAATGTTACTGAGGTAACAGTGATAATTTTGACACTAAAAAGGAGATAAATAAAGAAAATGATAGAATAGAAACAACGGTAAATATTGACTCAGAATCAGGAATTAGTGAACACGGGAATAAAAACAATTGACAATGAAAGTCTTGTTCTAACTAATTGTCGGTCGAAACGTTGCATGATTCGATAAGTTTTGAGAAGGAATATCCATCGGATCCTGGACACTTTGGAAACAAATTAACAAACGATATAAAAAAATGTATAATAAATAATGGTCCATGCAAACCTCGTGGTTCTTTTCCCAGAGACCAGAACCAAGATAACAGATCTTTTTCTATAAAATATTATGAAACTCAAACAAAAACTTTACTTAACATTTCAAGGGAATGGCCTTGCTATTCACAGAAAAAAGACACAGTTAGTTAAGTGTGAGTCTTGCAGGTTATTTGCTAAAAGAAAGGGTTCAATGCTTTCTCCGTGGGCCGACGAGATTGGAAAGGCCTTTAAAAAAAAATTGATACACATGAAAAAAGCGCCATGCATTTGAACGCATGTCGTGTATCGGATTTGTGGAGAAAGGATCGGACGGTCGACGTCGGTATGAAATCAGAGCTTAAACAGGAAACCAATAAATGGTTTAGTGTGTTAGATCGAATTGTCAATGTCACTCTTACTCTGGCAGGCTTTAACCTGGTCTTTAGAGGTCATACAGAAGTTATAGGCAAACCCAACAGTGGTAACTTTTTGACAGTCATTGATTTATTGAGTAAATACGATCCTGTGCTAGAACAAATAGTAAATGCACCTAAATACAGTAATAAGTATATGATTCCGGCAATCCAAAATGAGTTGATAGATCTTCTACTACTCAACTACTACTATACTATACTACTCAAGATATCACCCAAACAGATCAACTGAGTCAAATAATCAGATATGTGTCAATATCTAAGGATGAGTCTGGAAGGCCTACTAGTTTAGAAATCAATGAAAGGTTTTTGGGTTTTGGAGAAGTAAGCGATCAAACTGGGCAGGGCAAATCATACACAGTCTTAAGGAGAAGAATTTGATGTTGTCAAAATGCAGAGGACAAGGCTATGACGGGGCTGCGAACATGTCAGGAGTGTATCAAGGGGTAAAATCTAGGATTGAAAGAAAACAAAAGAACAGCAAAGTACCTACATTCATTGTGCAGCTCATAATTTAAATTTAGTTCTGAATGTTTTTGGACAAATTTATGTGTTTTTTAGCCAAAGTATAAAACGATGGGAGCTTTTGTGTTCAGTTACCATCACAATGAAAAAGCTTTGGCCCATACGCTGGTCTTCGAGAATTGATTCCCTAAAAGCACTGAGATACAATTTTGTAGTATTGAGTATTGAGAGCTCTGACAATAATAGTCTTGAGCTCTAACAAACCTGATGAAAACGCATTGAAAAACCACATGGAAAGCTTTGAGTTTGTTGTTGAAATGGTCTTACATACATTAATACTCAAGTCCACTGACATAGTTTCAAAGTACCTTCAGAGGAAAGATATTAATGTATGCAAGGCAATGGAGTTGCTCAAGAATGTACAAAAAGATCTAACTGATCTAAGAAACAATTATGATATCACAATTGTGACAGAAACTGCCATTGCTCAACAATGGGGAGTTAATACCGAGCTCAAAAATAAAAGGAATAGAAAATCAAAGAAACTCTTTGACGAACTTGCCCAAGGCGTCTGGCTGATGCAAATTTATACTATAAGACAGTTGTATTCTACGGAATATTGGACATTGCAATCAATCAAATTACGTTTAGATTCAAAGGAATGTCCCACGTTGCCAATTTGTTTTCTGTTCTCAGTCCTGAGTTTCTGTTGAGAAGTAAAGATGATGAGCTTCAAGTGAAATCAAGCAAACTGGCAAAAGAATATAGCGAAGATTTGACATCTGACTTGCCTAACGAAATGTTAAGTTTCGGAAGAACTTTCAGACATGAAATCAAAGCTAATAGGTCCCTGAAAGAGATGGTGGAATTTTTGTTCCTGGAAAACTACTCTGTCGCATCCAGTTTACCGAATTTATGTACAGCATATTTACTATTTTTGACTCTACCTGTTACAGTGGCTTCAGCTTAACGTTCTTTCTCCAAGTTAAAATTAATAAAAAATTATCTCAGAAGTACTATGTCTGAGGAGAGACTAAGTGGGTTGAGCGTCTTAAGCATTGAAAACAACATTGCAAAAAATATTTATGTTAAGACAGTCATTGAAACTTTTGCAGCTAGAAACGCAGCAAGATCAAGACATTTAAATAAATAAAACCTTTCTAACTGTTATTTTTTGTGATTTGTAAAACAATTTGAACTTACTAAAACATGTGTTAATTTATACAAAGTTTTTCTTGTCACTTTAAAAATAAAAATTTTGTTCTATTTTTAGTAGTTTTTATTTCACCGAAGTCAGTTCACGCTAGTGAGTTTGAATTTAGGCCTACTGTAGGCTTCTATGCTCCTAGTTTCTCAATCAGATATCATGTCATTAAATAGAACTAATTTAGTGAAGCAATAACATTTAAATGGAAATTATAGTTGGTACTGTAGCTTGGTTGTTTTAGTAATAAATGGTGGAGTAATGGAGTAGCCCATATTAACCGCGAACATAACTCCCAAGTTTAGTATCACTGTGACAAAATATGTTTTAAAGAGGACTCTGGTTGAAGAATAGGTAAACACTTTGTATGGCTAGAGACCATCCTCCGACAGTCTGATCGTGTAGACCTGCCGTCACCTACGTCAATGACGTAACCTAACGTTATGTGTCAGTTGTGGCCATCGGTATACCGATCGATGGTGTGGTAAATAGTGCTGTGGTGGGGAATGGGAGGGGGAGCAGGGGACATTTATGCGGGGGGCCCGGGGAAACACTGTTACGCCACTGGTTGTGTCATATCCAACAAATAGGCCTAACTGTACAGTGCAGTTTCTTAATGTTGTGTGTGTTTAGTTTTTAGTTGATCAAACCTCACAAAATCCATTCTCATTACCAGAGGGTCAATTATGAAGGCTGATGAATGTGGACTTTGTTAATGTGGCTAAAGCTAAGCAATTTTATTAAAATTAAAAAAAAAACACAGTCATCCTTGTGGAATGAATTTGCATAGGCAAAAATCTTTTGCAAAGTTAACTTGTCAAACAAGCAATGTTTATACATTTAAATAGTAATGTAACTTCATTGTTAGGAATTGGAATAATTCAACCTAAACTAAACTTAGTAAATCTCATTGTCTTATAAACTTTTGCAAGTTGTTATTAGATTAACCTTTCAAAACAGTTGCCATTACCTGTCTCCCATACAATAACGTCTCAATAAAGCTAAGCATCGATGAACACACTTAGGAGATGGCTTGTTATCATGAAATAAATCTCCACCAAGGAGTATAAGGTCCACTTTTTTCTGATCTGCAATCTGTAATATCTCTTCAAAGGTGTTGAAACTGTCATCTCCTGGAATCAAAAAGTTCATTAAAGGCAAGTTCAACCATCGTAGAGGAAAAATCATTTCAAAATAAAAACAACCGAAACAGGTAGAAGAAATAGGATAAATAGTAATTTCATTTTTTTTTTTTAAGTGAGAGGAAAAATCTATAGCTTTTCTAGTAGCTACAAACACACCTCCTTTATATAGGCCAGCCAATTGGCAACTGTATAAGTGTAATGTCAACCAAACATAAAGTTAGAATGGAGTTCAAAATTATTTAGATCATTTGAGTATAAATCAAACCTAAGTGACGTAACTTAAAATAATAGCATTCAAGTACTGTAACTTAGCCTTATGTGGGTAAAATTAATTAAGTTATCTTCAAAAACGTTAGCCAGGTGCTCAAATCAATCTTTATTGTCTGTAAACATTTTACAATAATGTACGGTAATGTAATACAATTTTTCTCAGATAATAATCTAATCACAGCCGAGGTTTCATCAATTACCTAAGTTAGGGTTAATTGTAAAAACATAGGCTATATTTTAAAAAAAGAGGTGGGCGGCCTCTTTTAACTTTGCATTTGCCCGTCCATATAGACTACAGATCTTTGCGTGGAACGTATCCAGCAAAGCAAGGGGTGAGCCGGAACAGTAAGAAGGTGAACTGTACTGATGAAAAATGTTTGCGGCAGTGACCAGGATCCGAACCGCCGACATCGCTGCCTTGGGCCCGAAGTCCGGGACGCTACCATCTGAGCCACCGATTCACCAAAACCTTTCTCCTTTTTGTACCTTTCTCTTGGAAAGGTACAAAATTACAATAATTGAAAAATGGGTTAAGTTATAGTTAGGTTCTGGTTATCAAAAAGTGATATCCTGTTAATAATTACCTTCAAGTAACTAGAAAACTTATTTAAAATATATTTTAGAGGAAAAATTCTGGTAATCAATAATCAATGGTTACCAATTCCATATGGTAATCAATTCCATAACTAGGTAGGTAGGCCTACCTAAGTTTTAGCAATGATGAAATACCACCAACGGCTTTATAACCATTAAGGTTCCATTTAATTTAAGGTGATACATCAGTTTGTAGTTATTGACAATCATCCAATTAGTAGGCCTAACTTAATTAAAGTGGATCAAGAACTGAAATATGCAATTTGAGTTGGCCTAGGCCTATAGGCCTAATAGCCTTGGCTCTCCATAACTTCCGAGGCTAGGCCTACATGAAGTGTTCAAGAGCTGACCTAACATGTCAGTTATATTATCATACCTTTTGGATCTAAAAGTTTCACTATAAATTATGTCACAGCAACAATGATTTGTTAAATATAACGATAGGATAGTATGATGACAATAAAAATGTTTTAAACAACAATAGGAGGCATACCTCTCAGTGGATCTTTTTCACCATAACCTAAGTGTACGTCACTTGCAATTAAAATGTTGAAAACATTTTCAGGATTAGATCTAGGATCCATAACAGTAAATGTTTGGATCAAGAATGTGAATTATTATTTCAAATTATGACTAAATAACTATTTATTTAGCCGAAAATACAAATGCAGACGAAACGAATGACGAGTGCAACACTTGTTGATTACACCCGCCAAATTCACCATCATCCGCGGAAAACATTTGTGCCTCTCAGCTTAGAAAGTGTAGGTAATTTATTGTCGCCATGAAGCTTACTAACTTTAACTTAAGTGTCAGAATGAATGAATAAAGGGACGGTCTTCAAAAGTTCCAAAATCGGAAGATCCAAAGAATATATTGCCGATCGGAAGTTCCAAAATCGAAAGATCCAACGTTTATATTGCCGATCGGATCTTCCAAAATCGGAATTTCCAAAGGTTATTTAGCGGGTCGGAAGGTCCAAAATCAAAAGATCCAAAGAAAATATTGCCGATCGGAAGTTCCAAAATCGTAAGATCCAAAAGTACAGTCATAACTAGAAGTACAAATTTATTTCTTAAAGTAAACTTATGAAATAGGCTGTCCTTTTCACTTTGGATCTTGCGATCGTATGTCGGGTCGGAATTTCCAAAACGCTACTAGTCAGATCGGAACATCCAAAATGCTAGAACTGTTGCGTCTCTAAGATTGAAGGCGATGAACGCCGTAACCAGCCGCGTTGCTAATGTCAGGGGAAAAGTTTAGACACTCGAGTTTAGATCTGTATAGAAAAGTAACCAAACTACTTATTTGGTGTGTGTATTTTTTGTCCAAAAACCATTTCAACATCATATTTAAGACGTATATTCAGACAATGTTTAAAAACAACATTTTAATTCGCTCTATGTTAGATAAATATTGTCACATAAATTAGCCATTAAGTATAACGGAGTTTTTAATTAATTTTAGTTTTGTTCTAATTTATATCACGTAAAGGCAATTAATAAAATACTGTTTGTATTTTATCAATGGAGTATCAAAATGCCCTTTGAAGCACTCTTTGTATAGTTTTACAATTCTCTTAGCGTATGTATTGGCCTTAAATATATGCTATGATAATTTTTTTTACATCTCCTTTTTTAAATTTAACCATCATGACAACAATATTATCAAACATAGATGGAATGAAATACTCCTAATAGAAGAGTTAATCTTCTGAGAATACTCTGAGAAGGCTAACATTTTATTTTTTGCTATTAGAACATAGAATTAAGTATTATGGAACAAATAGGTAGTTTACTTTGTGGTTTATACTGTATTTATCTGAAGTAACTTATCTTTTTATAAAGTAAAATATGTATCTAGATAACAGCCCAATTTGTTTAGGAAATCTTAATTTTCCTCATACAGTTTCTAACTCCCGTATTTGTCAAATACTGCTTGCCTCACTGTGGTATATATAGATTGCCTTCTAACAAGGCACCATAATTGCAGACGGCGTATATCGGTTGATGCCATGTTGATGTATGTAACTAAATCATAATCCCTGAATTTAAAATCTTAGATCGAAAGACTTAATGCTAGACTTTAAAGACTTTATGATAGAAAGATACCAATTCAATAATACAAGTCTTGAATTAACTCAATAATTCACTAACTCTTGACTCTAACTCTTGTTTGTGTCTGATACTAAATACATTAAAAAGTAGTATGCAAATTATTTGATTTGCATTTTATATTTATATGAAATTTTTTATATAGGTACTCAACAAATTTTTACCCTTCGTTCATTTGGGGTCTGAGGCATATCCCTAATCATTTCATGGCTTTTGTTTGATCAATGTCAATGTAAGGGTTATTAATTACTTAGCAAGTACCTTCGGCTTTACCTGCGATGGTATAACCATAAATATCATATAGCATAAGAAATGCTTTATGATATATACTTTTTTTTACGTAATTAATTAAATTTGTTTGTGTAATCTTTTTGGATTTAGTTACTTCTTTAATTATGTTACGGTAATAATAATAATTATCCGTAATGGTTGTGCCAATGATGATGAGTAAGATATCATTATTGTGTACTGCCTCCCGTAAAATTAAAATACTCCCGCGTCAGTGAACCTGCAGAGAAACCAATTTTCCATTTACCTTGCTGTAATTCTACTAAATTCTTCCCTAGTAATTGTAAGAAATATTTCCTATATGAATATTATTAATTTCAATGAGTACCTAGGTTTGCTGTTACAGGGGGAGATAATTTGGTGTGTATGTTATTGATAGCTTGGTATGAAGTAAACCAATTTGCCCAATCTGTTTCTCAAGGTGTAGTTATTTCATAGGCTGTATCGTATATTTCAAATTAGTAAATCCTGTGTTGAATTATAATACAGATGTAGAAGAAACTTATGATATAAAGAAGAAGTGCTCAAATGTAATCATAGGTTGATATAGACCTTAATTGTCTTTGTTTGTAAAATACAATGTTGCAAATCCAAACTCTAACGGACAATAGAGTCGGGCGGAGCACGAAATGAGTTTTGAGATAAAAATATGCCTATATTTTAATCGGGAAAGTGAGCTATCAGCATGCCAAATTTCAACCTAATCCGACCAGTGAGTGATTGAACCCCAATAAGAAAAACAAACACACAAACTTTCACAATGTATTATGTTGTTAGTATGGTAACACTTTCTTAATGTATTTTTGTCTATGTTTTGATAACTAGCTGTTGTACCCGTGCTTTTTAACGGCAATAGCACGGGAAATAAATACCTTTTGATCTATAAATGCATTTTATTAAATGTTAACACATCAGCCAATGTTTTGGCCAATTGATTCGTCGGAAAAGAACATACCATATTGCTGATGGATGTCAGGTGCTCAATAATTACTCTTTGTTGAACAGACATTGGTCTTATAAATATCACCATTGACTATATATACCTACCTGTAGGTATATATAGTCAATGATATCACGCATTTTAAGTTTTTAGTACCGGGGGACTGAGCCTTGCTAGGTTGTGGTTTAAAGTACGTATAATCGTTAAAACCATTTGATAAAAAAATATTTTAAATATGATTTTCGAGAAATGATTTCATTACAATCCAAGACATTTGATTGATAAAACAATAACGACTCTGTAATACAAGCAATGTAGGCCTATAAGGTATGTAATAAACAATCAGAATAATCATGTGTTGATGTGTTATTTTATTAATTTTTACATTTATTTATTTATGAAAAAAAATACTGTTATTTATGTAGGTAGGTGCGTGATTAATTTCTTGGCACTTAACGAAATGTTTCTTTAAGTTCAAGTAAGGCCCCTATTAGCCTTGAGCAACATGTGGCGCAGCTAGTGGAGCCGCCGGTGTCGGACGTGTAGAGGGCATGGAGTCAAAGGGTGCCTATTAGCCGCGGGGAGACCGGTGGCGCCGCCGAAAAAGCTGCCCGAGGTGTTGCCGGGAGTGAAACTAACACTTGAATACTATAAACAAAATTGAACAAAACACGACATCGACAGTGTACCGGACAGAACTAGACACGAAAACACAGCTTCAAAATTTACAATGTGATGGGAGGTATACTTGGTGTTGGTTAGTCAATGCCACAACCGAGCAAGGCTCGGTCCCCCAGTACTATTGTATGAAGAGGCCTTCACACTGATTCTTGTTTTCGAGTCGAACAGATAGACAGGCAGACAGTGGTCGCCTTTGTTTTCAACTAGATATAGAAAATAGTGTGGCAGAGCACCCATCCTCCAACACCCCCCCCCCCCAACCAATCGACGACTCCGCAACCCTCATCACGTGGCCTTGATATGTTCGAGTGTTTAGTGTTGAGCGTCCGAGACTACGAGTGTGTTTGTTTTAATAAAACCGGGATGTTTTATTCACTCCATGGTCGTTCAGTCCACCAGCTAATTTTTACAAATTAACGCAAGTTGTATAATTTTTAGCTCATGGTAACAGCGCTATGATGTTTTCTGTCTACGACTATTTCGTTTCGTTAAAAAAACCGGTTCCCTGACTGCATTAACCATGCTTGGATACGATAAATAGCCGAAAACGCACGATAATTTTTTGCCGGCATGGACTACGCCGGTTGTACAATGATGATACCAACGATCACATAAGACCAATAGATGGAGCATGTTGGCCGCGACGTGAAGCCAGTATTTTTCACTAATCTACAACAAGATGGTCTTATGTGATCGTTGGATGATACGAACAACAAAACGTTGACCTTGGCAACTTTCGTCCTAAAAATATGGGTTACTGTCCAGCGTATTGTTTCAATATTGACAGTCAAAATAGGTATTCTTCAATTATTATTTGCAAATGCTGTCTATGTAGGCTATGTTATGCAAATATTTTTATAAATTTTCATTTGAATATATTAGACTATTTTTAGTATTTAATTTTTTTCTTTCTTTTAGAATTTGGAATCGGTATCTAGAAACGTAATATTTCAGAACCTGTATAGAGAATTCTGTTATCGGCCAATTCCTATTTTAGTTAATGTAATTCGGCTAGGACGTAATTCAAGCCATGACCCTGAGTTTTGGCTTTGTTCTATAGTCAATCGAATAAGTGCTAACATGGAATAACCATTGAAAGGCCTTTAAAATTGCTGGTTTTTTACTGTAGTTTGGTTGTTTGCCATCTCCATTAGATATACTTTCTTCCCTCAAAGTATTCTGCACTGCGATGCATAGCTAAATAGGTGTTTCCTCTGTAAGATACTGAGAATTAAGTATTTTTTGTCATTAGCCAGGTTCCAAGGTACATTAGAATTATATTTCACCATTTATATTTCACCTTTTTCTAATTTACTTTTTGATCTTCGTTGCAAAACCTGAGCTGGCAAAATTATTAGAACACAACTGTGTTGACTTTTTTTATAGTACCGTATTGAAATTACTTATTGTGTACTTTGTGTTCTTTCGATGATTTGAAAAGAAAACATGTATTTATGTTTAACCGTTGTTAATGTTGTTTTGTTTTTACACCAGTATTCGTGTTCATCGATGCATTTAATTAAACATCATATTGAAGCTATATTGTAGCTTATATCATCGACTACATCATAGACAAAGACAAGTTACGTCATTAGCTTACTATCGTGTTTAATTTTGTTTAATTCCATCCACAGGTTATAAGTTCCCTTTTCAAATTAATGTTATTTCAA